AATAAAGCGTTATTCTAAAATAATTATGAATTATAACCGAGAAAACACGTTTACTTTTTCATTATTCTTATTTTGTATTACAAAATAAGAATAATGAAAAAGTAAACGTGTTTTCTCGGTTATAATTCAATTTTGAACCATTATGAGCAATTTTGGGATACAATTCATTTCCGTTCAATTCCGTTCATTCTATGAACCTGGGTCATTTTGTGCGACTTTCGATGACCTCTAGGCCTAGCTTATGACACTATCTATCATAGAAAACCGAATTGGGGGTTCCCAGCCCTTACGTAATAAGTCTCAAATTTAAATGACACACATGCGCCACCTATTGATTTACATGATAAACCTGCTAGCGCATGTCTGTCACTTTTGTTTTTGACACACATGCGCTAGCAGGTTTATCATGTAAATCAATAGGTGGCGCATGTGTGTCATTTTAATTTGAGACTTATTACGTAAGGGCTGGGAACCCCCAATTCGGTTTTCTATGATAGATAGTGTCATAAGCTAGGCCTAGAGGTCATCGAAAGTCGCACAAAATGACCCAGGTTCATAGAATGAACGGAAATGAACGGAAATGAATTGTATCCTGAAAGTGCTCATAATGGTTCAAAATTGGTCTGAAGGAGTTTTGGTTGTAACCATGTCATAACCATGTCATAACCATGTCATAACCATGTCATAACCATGTCATAACCAATTTTGAACCATTATGAGCAATTTTGGGATACAATTCATTTCCGTTCATTTCCGTTCATTCTATGAACCTGGGTCATTTTGTGCGACTTTTAATGACCTCTAGGCCTAGCTTATGACACTATCTATCATAGAAAACCGAATTGGGGGTTCCCAGCCCTTACGTAATAAGTCTCAAATTGAAATGACACACATGCGCCACCTATTGATTTACATGATAAACCTGCTAGCGCATGTCTGTCACTTTTGTTTTTGACACACATGCGCTAGCAGGTTTATCATGTAAATCAATAGGTGGCGCATGTGTGTCATTTCAATTTGAGACTTATTACGTAAGGGCTGGGAACTCCCAATTCGGTTTTCTATGATAGATAGTGTCATAATATAAGCTAGGCCTAGAGGTCATCAAATGTCGCACCAAATGACCCAGGTTCATAGAATGAACGGAAATGAACGGAAATGAATTGTATCCTGAAAGTGCTCATAATGGTTCAAAATTGGTCTGAAGGAGTTTTGGTTGTAACCATGTCATAACCATGTCATAACCATGTCATAACCATGTCATAACCATGTCATAACCATGTCATAACCATGTCATAACCATGTCATAACCATGTCATAACCATGTCATAACCATGTCATAACTATGTCATAACCATGTCATAACCATGTCATAACCATGTAAGAAAAAGGCGTCATAGCCATGTCACAAGCTGACCACTATGATTGCATTAACAATAAAGCGTTATTCTAAAATAATTATGAATTATAACCGAGAAAACACGTTTACTTTTCCATTATTCTTATTTTGTAAATTTGCTGTAATTATTTTGTAATTCTCACGCAGTACAGGCAATTACGGACAAAAGAAACAATGTTTTATATTATTAGTCTTAGAAGACTGATCAGCGCATCAAATAATGTTTTTTGCTAGATCGGCGCGATGCACAATTTATTAACTGGGCCGTACTGCCAGCTAACTGTGACATGTAAAATATTGACGTTGTTTTTATTCGTTCGTAAATGATAAATGGTTGCGGAATGACATTGAAAAAGCACAGGCTGAGCGCCGCCCAGTAAGTGTAACACAGACATTTCGCTTCAAAAAGAAAGTTTTTCGTGTTACTTCGAACAAATTTAGACAAGCATCATCCGTCGACGTACCGGCGAGTTCAATTTCCAATCCTTTCTTTAACGGGTGATACTTGTAGTCGTAAAATATTTGCTTCAAATATTAATCAGGACCGTCGACGAGTCCAACTCGGCGCGCGTCCTGGTAGGTTATAAACCTACATGCTACAAGTCACGCGTCGCGATCCTCATTTGTATTTCATTTCGCCCCCGCTATACCGAGGCGAAAGCCGCGATACGACCGCGCAGCCCACAACTAAGGGCTGAGGGTAATAAATTTACCGGATGTTACCTGAGGACCCCAGGCTATTATGTTCATTAACATAATGAATAAAGATTTGGCGGAATGACAGGCTGAGCGCGGCCCAGTAAACCGGATGGTGCAGGGAAATTGGTAAAAACACGATTTTAATCTTACATTAATTGTATAAAATTCTAAGTTCAGGTAAACAAGCAAAGTTTGTTTTTAATTATTACATATAACTATTTGTTGACGGATGTAACTCGTTTAATTTTTTCGATTCGAAGTTTACTGGGCCGCGCTCAGCCTCAAGCCTGTCATTCCGCCGAATTTATATGATTATGAACATATAATACACAAATTAAGTGCACAAGTAAGTAAGTAAATATTTCATGCTAGGCATGTAGCACCCATTACGGTACGGGTAACCACTAACCATCCATTGAGTTGTTGCTTTTTCACTTTGCATAGCAGCTCAGCGAGGTCCGCAGGGGTGCTGGGTGCATTTTGCCTATATCTAACGACAAACAAGGTGGCCTTACTAGTAGAGGCTCTTACGGGCATTGTCTGCTCGATACGTTAGGGACCCCAGATACACCTTACTAGACGTATTTTTGACCGTAGAATCGATTGAAAGTGGTTTCAAGATGATTGGACTGATTGTTCTGGGGTAAAATCGCAAAAAACCGATTTTTGGGCCAAAAATAGGCCAAAAAACCATGTTTTTTGATATTTTGAGCAAGTTAATTTTGTTGGCATGTCGGCAAAACTTGCATAAAGATAGCTAAAAGACAGCCGCACAAGATTGTATAAAAATAAAACAAATCCCTCTATTTGTTCTGAGGTAAAAATCCAAAAAAGTGGTAAAAATTTTGACTTTTTTGCTTTAAGTTTGAATAATTTTTTGCAGTTGTATTAAATCAACCCAAAAATAGTCACATCGTGTTTGCCTAAATTTTTCCTTTCCGAGAAGTACCCACTTCATATACTTAATCGAAGTTTGAATATTGTCACTCCGCAAGCGTTTTTGCCAAATTTTCGATGCGCACTACGCGCAAAAGCATTTAGTTGTTATCAATTGGCACCCGCGCGTTCATCATAAATTTCAAACAGCTATAACTCAGCGAGATTATGTCCGTTCTAGCTCATATTTTCACACTAAATAGAAAATAATGTGATCTTATTGCTGACAAAATATGGATATAATTACTTTATTTGCCTTAGAGTAATAGACTGTCAAAGTTTAAAACGCGCATTGGTATAGCACGTGACTAATAAGGCCAAATTTATACTTCTTAACATATTATCGATCCTTAGACATCATACTATTGTGTCCAATTAGCGGTTAGGTCTCTAAACTCGTAGCAGAAAACACGTCTTTTTGCCCGTAAGAGCCTCTACTATACGGCCTTACCACTTACGACGAGAAGCATTATTGGATCGATGCGCGGCAAGCTTGCTAGTTGCTACGAAGTATCCCGAAACGGGTTAGTCCATTATCATTTATAACAATAAACACATTGTTGTTGGCACTTGGCAGTTGGCTTGATACATGAATTGCATTTCGATCTTCGCGCACGATCCCAGGACACAGGAGCTCGCCTGTCATTCGTCGGCGTACACGCTTCAATATGCAATACTTGGCGGCGCTCAGCCTGTCATTCTACCGCACGCGCAGCAGGCAGCTTCATTCCTCCATAGCTCCATTCTCCAATGAGTATGTTTATAAATATTATAGCTTGTAGCACGATGCGCTACTGTGCCGCGCCGCGCATTCAATTATTGATTATGCTTCTTGCAACGCTAAATCGGTGAAATGCGCTACTGTGCCTCGCCGAGCTGCGATGAATTGACATCGTCAATTAACATTATAGCCTGTGCAGCAACAGTACACGCGCTTTAACCTAACCATGTGCTTTCGCGCCACTGCAGCGTGCAGGCGCGCTCGTTTCACACGGGAGGCGAGCGGAGAGGAGTTTAAAGATAAAATAGAGATAAGGATAAAATACATATATAAATAGATAAAGATAGCGATTAGAATATTAAATAGAGATTTTACAGCAATTTTACAAAAATGACACACATGGGCCACCTAATGATATACATGATAAACCTGCTAGCGCATGTGTATCAAAAAATGTTTTGACACACATACGCTACCTAGGAAGCGCATGTGTATCATTATTTTTTTTGACACACATGCGCTTCCATACTGCAGTACATTGCATTTCAAGCAACTAATTGTGCTTCCTTTTGTCAGAAATTGTGATTCGTTTTATACATAAAACAATTCAAGATGGATCTTGATTTGGAGGACGTCGTTGCTTCATCTGCAGAAGGGTTGGTATCGTCAATCAATATCTTGATATACCGGTTCGGGTTTGACTGGTGTGCCTATCCTTTTGTAACTTACCCTGCTCGTGCTCTATGGCTCGCTTCTCAGTTTCTCACGTAGGAATTTTTTTTCAAAAGGTAGCAACATTTTGCCATTCGAAGAAATCCGTTTTGCCGTACCAAATTCTGTAAGCCAAATAATTATCGTTATTGTCGTTATGCTCCAGTCGACTAGTGAGTTAGCCAAAGTTCTTATTTGTTATTAGAATAGCTAACAAACCCAGATAATAATTTAATTGTATGTTTAATTCAGAGAATTTATAAAGAATTTTTTTATTTATTCATTTTTAATGTGCATCATATTTTAACAATACTTAAATATTAATAAAATTTGTAAAGAAATTGATCCATTAACATTTTTTGCATCTTTAACAGAGTATATTAATTAGTACATATTTCCCGTTTTCCGAACAATATATAGTTAACCAATTTATGGGAGTCATGTGTTTACAGCACAAAACTACAGTGATTGGTTTATATTAAAAGCTTCATCTCTAGACTCAAAGTCATAGATCAGGGAAAAATCTTAGTCGTATTAGAGTATTAAGAATATAATATGTTATAATTTCAATTATTCCGATAATTAAAATAAGACGAGGCTAATCAAAAATAGTACAGAACCGTATTTTTTATATCACTTTGTGCAAGCCAAATCATCACAAACGAACAAGTTTATTTTAAGCCAATTCTAAGACACGAGTAATTCGTGAAATTTCCTTTTTAGTCCGACTAGCTCGATTCAGCGGAATCCGTTTACATATTATTATAAATAAGATTAGGCAGTAAGTCTAAAATGCATCATTGAATGTTCTCTAAGCCCAGATAAACGAAACTATCGCTAAGATGTAAACAGAAACTGCTGCAATCCCTGCTGTATTAGTATTCCTTACAGGCGACTCAACTGGCCCATCTTGATCTTCTATTTCATCAGCGAGACACGTTCTGGGAGTCCAGTCAATCTCAGTATTGAAATATTCTTCCACTTCTCCCACTACACCAAAGTCTATGGTGAAATTGACCACGGGAACTACCTCGTCCTCTCCAGGAAACTCCTGGATCTTGTGATCCTCTGTCATGTCCAGCTCGTACGGATTCTTTGCTCCTCTCTCCACATTGTAAGGATCAGAGTATTTGCCGTACCAATTGGCCTGGGCCTGGTACATCACCGCTGTTTGTCCCCTGTAGTCATGGCCGGCGTTGCCAAGGAACATATCAGGTTCAGTCCATTGCTTGTCCAGGTTTACCCAGAATTTAATGTCGATCAGGAAAGCGTCACAGAGCGGGGTGATCTCCTCATAATTGGTAGGCCACCCACCTCCAGCATCCCCCCACGGGTAAATGGAAACGTCACCCCCTTTTTGAGGGCAGGCACCACCCCCTATTCCATATTTGACTCGGGCCATATGATGGTGTCCATACGTGGCTAAACCATACGCCTGTGAAAACATATATTGTGATTGCAAGCTGAACATATCATTCAAGTTATCAACTAGTTTTAGGAAAATGCATCTTTCAAAATTGGTGGTAAAATTACAGTGATCACAGCTGAACAAAGTTGTGACAAACCTCTTTTACTTCCGTCTCATTCTCGATGGGAACTGTTGGGCTGTTATTAGGGATAGTACTCTTAATTTCATATCCTTTCTCAACCAGGTAATTGTAGTATTCTCCATGAGGGCGAATGTAGGTGTATTCCTTTTCTCGCTCAGGGGTGGAGCTATCTAGCATAACAAATGCTAGTGAGAGGTATGTCGATTTGGCGTTGTGATAGGAACGTTCCATAACATAAACCTCCCAACCAATTTTATCCTTATCAATTCTTTGCCAGTTCGCTGTCTGCGCTCTTTCCTTCAGTTCCTCCAGCGTGCTCGCCATCTTGTCTGTTTCGGGGTTCCCCTGCCCTATGTTCGCCCAAAATCCAGCATCATCGAAAAGCCGGAATCGGATAACGTCGTTGAAGTTTTCTCTAATGTCCATTCCCGCTCTCCTCCCAAGTGGGCCTATTACGTTTGCTTTGGGCTGGGCCTTCATTACATGCCACGTTGCACCCATATGAGGAAATTCGGCCGAAGACATCTGAAACAGTTTAACAAGTGTGTTAGGCATATTATAGGGATGATTGGCTTTTAAGTATTCTTATTAATTAATATTTTGCCACGAAATCTGCAAAACTTGCCAAACTTCGAGCTATCATAAAATTTGATGAAAGATCAGTTTAGTCGGTGTACCTATTATAGCAATGTATGCAAAATTATTTATTCTCATTTCCACAATAATTGATCTCATACGAAAAACAAAAGTTTTGTATATGATGGGGGTATCAGTATATTGATTTATATTAGATATTAGGGGCTTATTATAATTACAAAATATAATATCGTTCTTCAACTGTATTTTTGGTAGGATTTTTAACCAACCTTTCATTCGATCGATAAATATTGAATACATATTTTAAACTATATAATTTTTACCTGGCAATAATAAACGGGAAGATCGATGGGAACATGCTCCTTGTATTTTCCTCCAAATCTTGCATGGTAGATCGGTAGATCAATCCAGTTTAGCCAGTTTCTACCATTAGGCTCAAAAACTTCCTCTCCAAATTGATGATCAAAGTCAAAGTTAGGATCAATAGGCATGTAGTTTCTTTCAAGAATAATAAGCAATCTGTTGATCTCCCAGGCACTTTCCTTATCTTCCATATCGTCGTCAATGACAACGTTTTTTCTCAAATCTCGAACACCTTCTCTCTTTTGTGGCGGTATACCCTCTCTTCCTACCCCCCGATAAATGCGGATAAATCCATTTTCCTGGAATCTCCACACTCCGTGCTTTCCCTCTCCGACTAACAGAGCGGTCTGCTCGTGCATTGCCAGAAACCGATGAGTGCCGTGGGTGGCCATGAATCCAGATGAGGAGGGGTCATGAGGCATCCCGGAGTTGGAGGCATAGTAATCAGGATCATCAAGCTCTCTGCCGTGCTGAAGGGACAGATAAATCAATTATGGTAAATTAATTCAAATTAATTCAAATTATCAATTATGAATATGATTACCTGTGCAAACTACAGTTTGAGTTAACTGTTATTAATAACTTCAGTAATTTACAGAAACGTGGACTACTGTTATTATTGAGAAGAAGGTGCAGGTCGTTAAAATAACAAATTTTAGTCGTTAGAACTTAAACAAATATATAATATTGAAGTTGAACAAATGACATGTTAGTTCTCCCAACCTGGGTATTACATGCCCCAGTGTGTGCAAAGAGATTCTTCATAGTCTTATCGTGTGGTTGTACGGCTGAGAAGCATCCCTGAATGAGAAGGAGTCCGGGGATGAGGGTAGCAAGCATCCTTGAATTGGTCCCTGTACCTCTGTCCGGGACTGTTGGGACTTTTAGCTTTCGAGTTTTCGAGATCAACAAAATCTAACACCAATTCTAAAAAACAAGAAGATTAATTTTATTCGTTATAAATTTGACCTTTATAGCTTTATGAATAGATTTACATAGCATGCTGCTTTAAAAACTCTTAACATATCACTGATTGGTAAAGTTGACGGCAAAGTCCCAATCACTGTGGTTATATCAAAATTCTTTATCCATGCTGCAAATTCTGCACTTGTTGTTTGTAAATATATGCACGCGTTTACCTAGCTACAATATGCATTGCGGTTGACTATTCTACGGTTATTAAACTTCCTTAAAAAACATGATGAATTTTTTTTTGTTGATGAAAACAAAAATTAGACCCACATTTTAAAATACTTATTATTTCAATGATAATGGTAACCATAGTTTCTCATGCTGAAATATTGCGGTTAGTCTTTATATGTTTATATTCAGAAATTAGTGATAGTAATGGTCACGCACAAATATAACGTGATAAGGCTCCGTAGTATTATACTTATAGCTACGAATGGTTTTCCATGGTTCATGAGACATGATTTGTTGAAGGACATGTTCTATTGCATAAATTAAATGACTATGAGCAAGTAGCATAAGCAGAATTCTATTTTATGCTTGTTATAAAGTGATTCATTGATTCCAGCAAGCTGTTTTGCTTAATAAATACTGGTGTTTAAATAATAAATAAGTAGATAAGAATTGAATTTGATGTTAACATTGTCACAAAAATGCTGTGACGAAATTGACATTGCTTGCCCTATTTTGAAATTCATCATACCTCTATTAGAATTCAAAATAACTTTACCATCATACAATTTTCGATAAACTAGTTATTTTCCAATAAGGAGCAAACAGAGTTAAACTATTTTGTTTGTGACGAAATTAACCTATTTTCTACCATGTCACGATGTTTCAATTGTGACACTGTTAACATATTATTACCACATAATAATTTATGTGACTCATGGTTTGTGGTTGTAAAATAGTGTCGATTGATCCAGTACGTAATATAGGGTGTTCAAACTGGTATATTAATATTTGCTCAATTTCACACATGTTCTATGTTCACTGTTCAGATATCATCAAGAGTATGCGACAAAGTAAACTTATTTGTGCCTTCTGTGTGTTATTTGCTGACCCAGCACTTCCAGGTCATCAAATAATCATACACAGTACACTACTCAGCATTCCTTGTCACGGTGCCTCATATATTTTCTTAAATTTGTGACGGTGTAAACCTAGACGCACCATTTAACGATAAAAGTCGTCAAATATGTAGGTAATTGTCATATGTACCCATCCTATCAACTGGAGTGACTGGGACACTCGAAAATTTGGTCAAAAATGACAGCAAGGGGTCCATATTTACTCCGTTATATGTTTATAGTGTGACAAGGTAAACATTTCCGTACCGGCCGTATTTAGGCGATATCTTATCATCTGATTAAGATATCGTTATAATTATATCATATATGATAAAGTCTGCCTAGAGGATGAAACGATTATCCTAACCATCAGGGCCAGGGGTTTAAATAATTTCATAGTGTGACAAATTCACTACACTGTGCCTTTTAATAGGATAACTAATATTTACCAATATCCTCAAACTCAAATGAACGTGTCCATAATAACCGAACGCGATCCGAATAGAGATTCGGCGGAATGACAGGCTGAGCGCCGCCCAATAAATGTAATTAACAGGGTGAAAGATAAAAATTGACAGTTTTTGGAGTTCCAAATAGTTTCTGATTATTCTGATTTCTTGCGACAAATGATACTGCACTGTTAGGATAATTAACGACGTTTCAAAGTAACAACTTCTTATTCATCATCATGCTCAAATTATTTGTTATATAGTAGTGTTGAAAGTATTAAAACTTAAAAATAAAAAAATAAAAAAATAATATCGATTTTCAGGGTCACGAAATTCTCACCGAACCTCCACGCGGTGTGGCCTGGTTGGAACTAACGGAAGGTGTGCTCTCTGCGCCAGTGTGTAGTGTGTAGTGTGTAGTGTGTAGTGTGTAGTGTGTAGTGTGTAGTGTGTAGTGTGTAGTGTGTAGTGTGTAGTGTGTAGTGTGTAGTGTGTAGTGTGTAGTGTGTAGTGTGTAGTGTGTAGTGTGTAGTGTGTAGTGTGTAGTGTGTAGTGTGTAGTGTGTAGTGTGTAGTGTGTAGTGTGTAGTGTGTAGTGTGTAGTGTGTAGTGTGTAGTGTGTAGTGTGTAGTGTGTAGTGTGTAGTGTGTAGTGTGTAGTGTGTAGTGTGTAGTGTGTAGTGTGTAGTGTGTAGTGTGTAGTGTGTAGTGTGTAGTGTGTAGTGTGTAGTGTGTAGTGTGTAGTGTGTAGTGTGTAGTGTGTAGTGTGTAGTGTGTAGTGTGTAGTGTGTAGTGTGTAGTGTGTAGTGTGTAGTGTGTAGTGTGTAGTGTGTAGTGTGTAGTGTGTAGTGTGTAGTGTGTAGTGTGTAGTGTGTAGTGTGTTGTGTGTTGTGTGTAGTGTGTATGCCAGATCTGATTTCGTTGAGTATAGAGGTCGAAACTTGCCAACACGAACCTTCCTAGTATAGATGAACCAGGAACATAGCTTTAATAAAAGCTATTAAACCACCAGGGAATTCTCTTTCAACCTTCACTCATTCAGGTCCCCCATCGTTAATCGTTATAGTCACCCACCACAGAGCTAGCTAGGGATCCCATTAACGGATGTTACTCGTCTAAGACTAAATTTCTTCGAAGTAGCACTGGCAGTACGCGCGCCGCACGCTTTCTTCTCGAAATTGGAAATGCCGATGGCAAGTGCTTCGAAGTATTGCGCGCCGGGCCAGACCATGATTAACTTTAAGTATTAACAATGCAGTCAATCTCTCTCTCTCTCTCTCTCTCTCTCTTAACGGGTGATACTCTGTACTCGTAAAATATCTGTTCCATATATTGGACCGTCGACGAGTCCAACTCGGTGCGCGTCCTGGTAGGTTATAAACCTACAATCTCTTTCTCTCTCTGATATCTCTCTCTCTCTCTCTCTCTCTCTCTCTCTCTCTCTCTCTCTCTCTCTCTCTCTCTCTCTCTCTCTCTTTCTCTCTCTCTATCTCTATCTCTCTCTCTCTCAGATATTATTTACAGTCGATCTCAGATATTGCTCTAAAAGGGCCCTGACAGTTGCCGCGTAACGAATAACCAACTTCCATCGCGGATGTATTTTCGGACGCTGATTTATAAGGTTGAAATGCTCCTCTGACGCGGACGAGATATTTGCGAAAATTGTCTCGATCACGTGATCATATGACCGTATAATATATAAAAAAGTAATTAGTCTAATTTCTCGTTAGGGTTAGGGTTAAGGGTTGTAGCGCAATGCGCTACTGTGCCGCGCCGAACTGAGATGAATTGACATCGTCAATTAAAATAAGTTATAATACAAGTATAAAGTGGCAACAGACAAGTGCAATTATGAATTAAGCATGTTATTTACAGCTCCCCTAAATACACCTTTGGTTGACGAATGTGGAATGTAACTCGTCTAAATTTGTTCGAAGGAGCGCGCGCGCCGCTTTCTTCTCGAGGAAAGTGCTACGAAGTAAGCGCGCGCAGAGCTGGTCCATTAACAATGGACTACACTTTTGGTAAATAATTACAAATTAGGTAATTTGGCAGTAGAGTCAGCTAGGATCCACAAAATTGCATACTAAATATTTTATTATTTCATCCAATGTGTACCACTAAAAAGAACTCACAATCAAGAAGGAACTCTTGACCTCGTGATAACGACCAAAGTCTTTAAATTAAAGACTTCTATCAACATTGTGGAATCTGGGACTAGATCAGATCATTTTCTTGTTAAATTTGTAGTGTCTGTGAGACTGAAGACCTCTTTGGATGATACTGTACTAGGGTGATGAACTATCGTGATTTTAAAAGTATTGTGGTTGAGGATTTTTAAGCAAATATTTTGGTTTCTGATCTCTGTAAAAGAGATGCTTGGTGCTCTGAGAGTCTTGATGAGTCAGTTAAGATGTACAATAGTATTCTATTGGAACTTATGGACATTGGACAAACATTGTTTTACCTGGGGACCTCAGGCTATCATGTTCATAAATATAGAATAGAGATTAGGCGGAATGACAGGCTGAGCGCGGCCCAGTAAGCATTGTCCTGTGATCAGTAAGGATATGAAGAGTGAAGACAAAGGTAAACCTTGGATCGATCAGGATCTGAAAGCTTTACAGAGGCAGAGGAGAGCAGCTGAGAGAGCCTGGAGGAAAGGCAAGGGACAAAAGGATATTTTGGTCAACCTCAGGAACAAATTTATTGTCATTGAGCGACAGAAGAGGATTACTTACAATAGAAAAGCCCTCTTAGCCTCTGCGGGAGACACGAAGGCTCTGTACAAGAAAGTTTATAGACTCACGGGTGAAACTACCCAAGAAAGGCCACATGGTAATGACACTAAAAAACTTGCAGAAAGTTTTAAAGTTTTCTTTGCTGATAAAGTGAATGATATCAGACTTGGGATAGAAGAAGAAGGAAGTCATATCGGAGGGAACTTGTCATCGTCAGAGAATCTTGAAAGCACCTATTCAGGGCCATCATTTGATAAATTTCACTCCATCACTAGGCAGCACCTGTTACACACCATTTCTAAGATGTCTAACAAGTTTTGTAGTCTTGACCCTATTCCAACTTTCATGTTGAAGAAATGCTCTCAGGAGTTGGCACCGATCCTCCTGCACATAATAAACGGTTCTATGTTGCAAGGTGTGTTTCCAGCCGAGATGAAGACTGCACTGGTCAAGCCCACTATCAAGAAGAAGAATGCTGATCCAGATATTCTGAAGAATTACAGACCAGTCTCAAATCTTGTAGTTATGTCTAAAGTAACTGATTGAAAAGATTGTACTTGAGCAGTTGAACAATCACTTACATTTAAACAGTCTGCATTGCCTAGTTCAGTCTGGATACAGAGCGAACCACAGTTGTGAAACCCTGATGGTCAGGATGGCAGACGATATTCTTAAGGAAGTGCAGAAGAACAACATTGTGATTGTAGTCCTACTTGATCTCTCTGCTGCTTTCGACACGATTGATCATACAATCCTTCTTAAGAAGCTGGCAAAAGATTTTGGTATTAAGGACTCTGCATTGAAATGGTTTAGTTCATACCTCTCAGGCAGGTTTTTCAAGGTTAAGGTAGATGACTCATTATCTGACTTCCTGTGTCTGTTGTTTGGGGTACCCCAGGGCTCTCTATTGGGACCTATCCTGTTCATCTTATACACAAAAACAGCATGCAACCTTCTTATGAAGATACCGGCAGTATCGAGATAGCCCGACCACTGGTCCGCGGACCACTGTCCGCGGACCACTGTCTGCGGACCACTGTATGCGGACCACTGTCTACCAGATCATATTACTGTATAATAACAGTATCCCCTGAATCAAGCAACAGGTGTTTGTGAATAGTTGATTGGTTACCAGATCATATGAATGGTATGTATGGTATCTTGGATGCAATTAGTTACGACTGGCATAATTAATTGTAGCGTAGTAAATTACTGGATCAAACTATTGATTACGATTATTCTCGGATATAATTAGTTACGAATAATATTGATTGCTCAATGAAATAAATGATTACGATTAAAATGTGGTATATAAGTCGTTCGTTTTTGGTGAAGTATTATCAGTTGCCATCATCAACAACTATTCCAATTCCTGACATGGTACTCTTCTGTCTAATGGACGAAATTAATGGACCCACCGCCTCCCTAGAGAATGCTCGAGACTTCCTATTCCAGAAAAACCTCCTAAAGAGCTCCATGTCCTGTCCTGGGTGTAATGCATCTATGTCCCTGGTTCCCTGCTCGTCCTCGAAGTCTCCAGATGGACTGATATGGCGCTGCTCCCCCTGCAAGAAGTACAAGAATATTAAAACAGACAGCGTCCTCTCTGGACAGAAGCTCGCTCTCAAGACCTTCATACAACTGCTGTTCTGTTTGAGTATAAAAGGACTAGCTGGCATTGCGGTATCACAGATGACTGGACTTTCTGAAAACGCGGTGTCTGACTGGAAGATATTCATCCACACTCGAATCGCTGATGAGAGGTGAGACAGGTTTGCAGATAGGGTCGCAGGGTAGGGCTGAGTTCATCCGTTTCGTTTTCTCTGAGACCATAGTTGTAGTTGTTCAAGAAGGAGTTGATGATAGAAATGATTGATGCAGTCTGATAATAGTTATTCTTTATATATTGCATGATGTGAACTGATCTCGTAAGGTTGCTTAATCGTTTAATAAGCCTTGACACCACCGCTGATTGGAATTCGCGTGCGATGATGTGAACCCTGCTTGATTCAGGGGATGATGTGAACCCTGCTTGATTCAGGGGATACTGTTATTATACAGTAATATGATCTGATAGACAGTGGTCCGCAGACAGTGGTCCGCAGACAGTGGTCCGCGGACAGTGGTCCGCGGACCAGTGGTCGGGCTATCTCGATACTGCCAAGATACCTAAGTTCTCTAAATTGAAGGCAACTAGCAGGCGGTTCAGCAACTATGCACCTGAATCATGGAATTCTCTCCCTCTTAATGTCCGTAACATCGATAATATTGTCTCTTTTAAGGGTAAGTTAAAGAACTATTTGTATGATCAGCTATAGCCTGGTTAAGCTATTTTTTGTGGCTTTTAGTCTTTTTTTGTGTTATTTTTTGTTTCCGAGTATCCACTTCTTGTTTTTCTGGTTTTTATCGGTGTGTCAATAAAATCAATTATGTAATATGTATACTTTAACCATTTTTTGCGACAGTTAATCTGATATTATCTCTTTAACATTATTTAGTATTTTTTGATTTATGAGACCCGTGTTTTGTTTTTAACTTTCTGCTCCGAGGATTTCTTGCCGAAGATCAACAATACTGTGATACCATGCTATTTCGGATTTCCATCTAGGATTGCCTATCATTCAGTGCAGGCGAAGAATACAATTGCATCTACTGACAGTTTGTTTTTTATCAATGTTGATGGGGTGTCTGTCGGGTTAGGACCTGGATGGTCCCTCAAGCAATCCCCTATACGTGGTTTTTTACATCTAGATTTTGAAATATGGCTACCAGCAGGGATATGATCCATATCTTATATATTCTATATCTCTTGTGTCAAAATAAATATGGCCAACCTCCCCACTAGTACCCAGATCTTTGGTTCTATAATAAATTAAGATTGGCTGCCATTCAGGGAGACAATTGTGTGGTGACTGGAAAAAGGACGTAAGATGACCACTCCTTGAACTGAAGAAGAAGGGTTTGTGGCTTGAATCTCTATTATAGTTTTACAATTTCGATCTTACGGTCAATAATCTGTCCATGAATGCATGTGTATTTTAGTAGTTTAAAATCTGATGAAGATGGACAATTGACAATTGTTTCACAAGATGTTGCAACTTTCCAGTTATGAAATTCAGGAGAAAAGATGTACAGTCAAACCTCTCTATAATTGGCCTCTCTATACCGGGTACCTCGATATGCCAAGCCTCTTCTTTTCCCGCAAACTTTAAGATAATTAGCTCGTTTTGTGCGAGAAATGTGACTTATCATAGCTCATATAACATGCTTGACAGGTTATTTGCGAGGTTACAGATACTGGGGTTGGGATCATGTGAACCTCTCTATAATGGATTTTTTTCTATACCGTGCACTTTTCTAATCCCGAGATGCCTGGTAATAGAGGTTTGACTGTAAAACCAGATATATTTACAGGCGCTTCAAAAGATGGATAATTGTTGGGGCATCAATTTTCACGAATTCAAAAATAAAGAAATTGCGTAAATAACCCTGTGGAAATTAATGATTTTACAGTAACAATAGAGTTCTCGAGGTTGAGCATCAATAAAAATCTAAGTATAATTACTCTACTAATGTAGATTTACCGAATACTGATAATTGAATTCTTATTGGGAACATGACTGATGACTTCAACTGATGATAGAGCAAGAGTTGCTTGGTGTCAGACTTTCAGTCCATCTCACTATTAAAATATGTTATGTATAGTAGAAATAAAGGTATACAATTAGTAATACTAGCATTTTATCTAACACCTTTGAACTGTGTCTGACCAGACCTGCCCAAATATAGCATCACAAATAAAGTTATTAGCATGAGCATCAGGGTTTCCTCTTTTAATGAAAGTTTAACAGACTGTTACTTGGCAGTACACTCATTGATAGCAACAATCATAATAGATATTTATCAATTTTTTGATAGGAATGAGGGGTAGAGCTAATCTCCAGATCTCTAGGTCTTCCCACTCTAAACTAAACCTAGTCAAATCAGAAAGGAGACATAAAGTCAAGCTTAACCATGACGTTTGCTAGGATGATTACTCCTCCACTCCTCTTTAGAAAACACCATAAGATCTGTTTCCACATAGAGCTACCGTACATCCCTCCACCCTCTACCTCAACCCTCTACCTCCACCCTCTATCTCCACCCTCTACCTCCACCCTCTACTTCCACCCTCTACCTCCACCCTCTACTTCCACCCTCTACCTCCACCCTCTACTTCCACCCTCTACCTCCACCCTCTACCTCCACCTTCTACCTCCAGTCTCCACCCTCAACGTCCACCCTCTACTTCCACCCTCAACCTCCACCTCCACCCTCTACTTCCGGTTTCCACCCTCAACTTCCACCTCCACCCTCTACCTCCACCCTCTACCTCTACCTCTACCTCCCCCTCTACCTCCCCCTCTACCTCCACCCTCTACCTCTACCTCTACCTCCCCCTCTACCTCCACCCTCTACCTCCACCCTCTACTTCCACCCTCTACCTCCACCCTCTACTTCCACCCTCTACCTCCACCCTCTACCTCCACACTCTACCTCCACCCTCTACCTCCACACTCTACCTCCACCTTCTACCTCCAGTCTCCACCCTCTACCTCCACCCTCAACTTCCACCTTAACTTTCACCGTCAACCTTCACCCTCTACTTCCACCCTCAACTTCCACCTCGACTCTCTACCTCGACCCTCTACCTCCATCCTCAACTTCCACCTCCACCCTCTACCTCCACCCTATACCTCCACCCTCTACATCCACCCTCTCCCACAAACCTTATATTAATATAGACTGTACACTGCTGGTATGATACTCAACAGTTGTCCGCTGCATTAATTTGATGAAAAGTTTTATGTGAGTGCAAGATGTTATGTAACTGCATTACATATTTACACTGTTAAATGTACAATATTTTTCGCGGAATAACTTGACTTTGTTGTAGGATGTTATTAGAATAGGATGGTATGACGGAAATAGAAAATCACAGACTAGTGGTTGTGGGTGGCGGGGGAGTGGGTAAAAGTGCGCTTACTATCCAGTTCATACAACGCCACTTCGTAGAGGACTATGATCCCACTATTGAGGACTGGTTTGTACTTTACAGTTTCTTTTATCCTTATTTTTCTTGATATACATATCCAGTAATGTTGGTGATTGTGAGTAATGAAAAGTAATATAGTGAGTGTCAGTAATGGTGTGAGCAAATAAAATGGTGTTTAGTAAGGTGAAGTTTTGTACACTAACATCACACTGTATTGTTTTCAGCTACAGGAAACAGACGCGCGTGGACAACAAAGTAGCTATTTTAGACAGTAAGTTTTTAACTAGTTAAAGCAGTGTAAATACCTCACACTGGCACTATACCCATTAGTGCACTTTATCTGCTCCGGAGCCTATCTCCGGTGCGTAACTTGTAAAACATACAAGTTGCAAACTTTTTGACAGCAAAGCCATACTTTTTCTTTATTATGCACATTTTTATGTATTTTATTAAGTATTTATGACAGCAATACTCGTCATGTTGACACTGTGCCGAACAGTCCCTCACTCTGGTACTCTCTTACCAGCTTCGCAAACCTCTCAACTTATTTTCTCGTCTTCTATCTTTCAACTATCAGATTTTCTTATTTTGACACATTACTTCTCAACTTTTATTTTGTATCCTCTTAATTTCACCAACATCTTGAATCCTCGCAACCTCACATTAGCTTTACATCTCACCCACCCCCTAAATTTACACTCTCTGAACTTTACATTACCTTTGATTCTCCCTATTATGCATATTATGATAATATGATATGTTGCGCTGTGAAAATTTATCACATTAACCATAACTTAATCCCAGTAAATCTAACTGAACATAACATTAATCATTTATATTTCTAATCATTTATATTTCAGTTCTGGATACTGCCGGACAAGAGGTGAGTTCTTTGTGAGTTGTGAAGGGTTTTTGAGTAATGTTCCAAGTTGGCACAGTGCCAACCCACCAACACACGAGAACCGTACACAATTCCTGTGCACCCCTTGGCCTTCATATACGACGCTATTTTAGCTTTGAGTAATAACTTAACATTGAGTTGGTCAGTATATTATTTAAATGTGAGAGGTCTGGCAAAGGAAATTCTGAAGAATATTCAAAACGTTTAGTTTCCACTAAGTGTAAGGGAAAGACTGTAGGATATCAATAAATTGGCGGCAAATCTGTCAATAATTGCTATTTTTATCCGTAGGAGGAGGATACACAAGGGGTAATTACTTTGAATACACATTTGCAGTAATCCTGAAATAATTTTAACCAAAATCGATCCCAATTATTTACAAATATGAAGGAATAATTCAGAAATGTTATGCTAGTCTAAAAATAAATCAAATTTTCTTGATTTTTATTTTGTGGTCCTATTGCATTATGCAGTGCCCACTGGCCAGTATTTGAGTGGAATTCTGGGCTCTTATAGTGGCTGAATGTAGTTCATTCACAGAGAGAATTGCATGGATTGCACTTGCTGTGGCAGTAAACTTGGTAGGGTCTAGAGTTTTATTGGAGAGCACACCGGCTAGGTCAGTGATGTTTTGGGGATGATTGAAGTTAAATTTGTCCTTAACTGAGGAGTAAACCGAACAGTCAGCTAAGCCCTTTGATGAAGAAGCAGTAAGTGCACCATCGATCTTATCTTGGTACGAAGGGGGTTATGAAGGTTGTGCCAGCTGATACGAAACCATGTTAAGCTTTTTCAAACATCAGGGAACATCAGCATAATTTGTTCGTGAAACGAAGCAGAGAGTAACTCATTTTTGGTGCTTTCAAGGCCACTATATGAATCTGTTGCAAGTCACCTTATTGTATACCTTGTCAGTGTCACTAACTTAATTTTTTCACGTAACTTGTCAGTGGTAATTAATAATTATACTTACCAGGAGTTCAGTGCCATGAGAGAGCAGTACATGAGAGCGGGAGATGGTTTCCTTCTTCTCTTCTCCATTTCAGACCAGCGCAGTTTTGAGGAGGTCCAGATTTTCAATACTCAGATATTGAGAGTTCATGACGTGTGAGTAAACTTCTTACTTTCGACTTTCTACGTCCTACACTGTACACTTGTATATGTATAGTAGTAGGGTTAGAAATTAAAATTAGAAATTAAATTTTAAAACAGGCGGTTGTACAATGTACAAATATTTTGAAATAAAGATTTTTTCCGTTCACCCTTTTGTAAAAAGGCAATAGTGAAAGGTTATGAATGGACGTTTTTGCAGAAAAACGTGGATTTTGGAGATAGCAGTAGGTGGGTTTAAATATGGTGTCATTCCGTCCGTTACCATGACAACTAGCGCGCAGTGCAGCTCGCGAGTATTGCTTGCGGAGATGTGATGTATTTAGCTAGCCTGTCAATGAATGCGCGGCGCCGGGCGCGAGTGTATTTTAATGTTTACTATGCAATGTATAGTATTAGGTTTTAAGCCCAATTTGTACGTGGCAAGCGTAGTATAGTGTACTAATGTGTATCAATATTATTATTATGAAGTGAGCTGATTGGAACTTATAATTATAGTTATAGTGAACGGAAATCTAGCGTCCGCCAAAACGAAACAACGGGCGCAATTCTTGTTTATATTACAATTTGGGATTCCCAATATTCTTTTGATTAATTTGATTTTGATTTAGCCGTAGTACACTGAGATCAGCTTCGGTTTCAAATAAAGGTCAGTTTCTCTGCTTCTAAGTTGCACCTCCTAAGCTGCTATGGTCTGTGTCGGACCGTGCTACACAGTTTTATGACTATAAGAATTCAGTAACCTTGTCACGAGAACTGTGCTTTCTTAGTAATGAGACTTTGTTATCAAGCTCCTTTGCTGTGCAATCCAATGATACTCTAGTTGAGATCATGAGATGTGACGCATTTTGATTAATCACTGCATACATGAGATGTGTCAATAAGCAATACTCAATCTGAATCTAGCTGGCACTTTACTATACAGGTCTATACTCAACTTGACTCTAGCTGCTACTCTACTATACTCAACCTGACTCTAGCTGCTACTCAACTATACTCAACCTGACTCTAGCTGCTACTCTACTATACTCAACCTGACTCTAGCTGCTACTCTACTATACTCGACCTGACTCTAGCTGCTACTCTACTATACTCAACCTGACTCTAGCAGCTAGCTGCTAAGCTGCTACTCTACTATACTCAACCTGACTCTAGCTGCTACTCCACTATACTGAACCTAACTCTAGCTTCTACCCTACTTTACTCAACCTGACTCTAGCTGCTAATCTACTATACTCAACTTGACTCTAGCTGCTACTCTACTATACTCAACCTGACTCTAGCTGCTACTCTACTATACTCAACCTGACTCTAGTTGCTACTCTACTATACTCAACCTGACTCTAGCTGCTACTCTACTATACTCGACCTGACTCTAGCTGCTACTCTACTATACTCAACCTGACTCTAGTTGCTACTCTACTATACTCAACCTGACTCTAGCTGCTACTCCACTATACTCGACCTGACTCTAACTTAAATCTGAATGCATATTGAGCTACTCTAGCTGCTACTCTACTATACTCAACCTGACTCTAACTTAAATCTGAATGCATATTGAGCAACACAAGTTATCTAATACTTGTGATCACACTTTACCTAATGATGATCACAATGTAATTGCGCAATTGATTTCCTCATTTTAACATTTATTTATTACTTTTTTTACTCCACAAATCTCTCCACATACTTCCGGGTTGTGCCAATGCAATCGTCTGAGCAGTTACGTACACACTACACATACCAGCAATTCTATGTTATCGTCTCATTCTCCCTGCAACATACCTGCGTGATAATTATGTGCAGTCTGCACTTTATCTCTGTGCTTCTAATGGAATGTAGTAATTGCCAGAAGTTTTCTTTTAATTCCGTCTGTATGTCGGGTTGGTCACTGTGTTGAAATACCCTGTCTGCACTTGAAGTTATTTTCCTGCTAGACAACTTTTTGGTGGTACGTAATTTCTCAATAGTGTAAAATGACAACAATGTTCTGTCATTTATCGAACAGAAAACATTACCAAACATTTCAAAACGTAACGGAACATTTGACAATTTGTCAAACTGTTTCATTGAAATTGATGACCTCATCCAAGAAACTTGTATGTTTCAGTAAGTAACATTGCAGTATGGAGTTACAGCGCAAGGGGTAGCCCGAAATTAACTATTGAATCCTTAAGTGGAGTGAGTTTTAACTTCATCACAAATGCCGGATAATACTAATTTTGCACTAAATCGCACTCCTGAATGTGATATTTAATTTTAATTGTTTTGTTCTAGTGAGCATTATGTTTAGATTAAGCACAATAGCAGAAATCTTGAGAACATTTCTACAGAAACGTGTTTATCTTTAATTTTAAACTTATTCCGCTCGTTTATCGACCAGATCGCACAAAATGGCTACAATAAGACAATACAAGTCCTTAACTACAATGGTAGAATCTCAACTCAGTGAATTTTACTTAGTATTATGAACACAAATCTTGATTGTAAACTGATTCTAATTGTGTTCTACTTTATTTTCGACTGTTCAAAGTAAAAAAGTGAAGTCCATAAAGGTATAAACTCAATTTTACTGCGCTCAAATATTGGTGATCACACTACATTGCGCCCAATAGCGCATCAGTACTCAGCAGCGCTCAAATGTGCTGACAAATGTCAGGTGGGCGTGAGCTGCATGAAATTTGGCGGAAAATTAGAAACTGTGAAAGGTTGCTGGTCTGTAATTTATATTTTGTCAGTAGTATCAAATAACAATCTATTTGCAGCTCTAACTTTATATCTCTAATCGAAGTGTAACGAAGCACAACCTCTCATATTTTGACCTATCACCCGCGAATTTATTAATTAACAACACAGAATAACTAATAATAAATCAACTTTTCTTTCCAACAACACTTTTATCAACATATAAAACATTATAATATATAACATTAACTGCGATAACAATAATTGTGAAAGCTGACAGTGGCTAACTGGTGTGTGTACACTGTACCTATAATAATAGTATAGCTCCCTGATACGATAAGTGATTAGAAGACTAGCAATATACCCGGCTGTATAGGATGTAACTATCCATGACACCCTACACTTGTAGTGTGTGTGCGTGTGTATAGTGTACTTTAGTATGTACTCTCTGTGTAGTATATGTGTATAGTGTAGTTTGTACATTCCCATGTATTGTTTGGGTGTGTAGGATACTTACTTTTGTTAAGTGTGTTGGATCTGTGAACTTCACGGTAAATTCTAATTCCTTAAATCGCATTCTAATTCCTTAAATGCGAATTATTTTGTTAGACCAAGATGATGTAAGCAAAACGTAACATGCGATCTAATTTTAAGATCTAGACTTTAATAAGGATTTAAAGACTCTTCAGTGAAAATGACTCTTTACATTAGATAGTTTTTACTTTTTACTGGATTTTTGATCGTTAGAAATAGCATCTCATTGTAACGCAATAAAAACTTGTTTATTTTTCGTGGCGTGGATCCAATTACAAATGTGTCCATTTTGGAGGTTCTCCTTAACCATTGTTAAAATATATTGGATCACGACTCTTACGAGTGGACACATTTAGAAGTGTTCCTATTCATACTATTGAAATTGGTCACATATAGTTTATATGGCGAGAATTAAGAAATTGGCACCCTGTCTTCCGTGCTTTAACTCTCGTACTTTGGGAAACAAGGTTTAAAGTATAGGTTTAGGTGTCGAGAGGTTTAGGTGTCGACCTTCAACTAAAAATTGGGGTTTCGAACAGGATTTGGTTGGCTTCCCCCTTGACACATACTCATCCTTATTTTAATAAATTAAAGCACATTTTATCACTTTGAAAATAAAAACAGTGCAACTTGGCAGTGGTTATTGACGTATTGTATGTGATAGTCAATTAATTGCAAAGCCATACTTAGTAATATATCCATAGTTAATTGCTAGATTTACGGACATTTAACACTGTCTCTCCGACTACAATATCGTCAATGTATTCTTATCCTGTGGGCTAAATTTAACATATTGCATAACGTGTGAATAATACATCATACTATCATCACCTCATGCTGTTCAGGTAAATTGAAACTTTGTGATAAAGCGCCGTTGCCATTTGAACTTCCTATTAAATATCGAGGGCACGGTGATATGCCCTGGAACTTTAATGAAGTTGCTGATAGGGTATCATGTGACATATGACACACTTTATCGAGCTTGCAGTGACAGATGACGAACTTTTAACAACTTCAATTCTTCGATATAAATATAAGGCCTCAAGCGGAAACAGAAATATAATTTTATTTGTAAGGCGCTATGACGTCTTTGAACTTCAACATAATCGTCCTGTCATTTACTGTGTTCATATTGTGCGCGCCGCATGCATGGCTCGCGCAGCGTTAATCAAATGATGGATCTTGAATTGCACTCTTGAATATATATGATGTTGTGTATTGACACATTTACTATTTACTTACGAACAAATTTTACCAGGGAGTGGTTTCCGATGGTGCTAGTTGCTAACAAATGGGATTTAAAGAATGAACATTCTGTGTCTGAAGATAGAATAGACCGGGCTGCCAAAAACATGAGTGTAAATTACATTTAAAGCTTACCTTTTATTCATCATCTAACTGCTTCGAGTTCGATAACTTTGTGTATTTTATTCATCTTAAGGCTAAGTTTGTTCATTGCATATTTCATTATTATGACCTTTTCAGATCCCGGTTGTGAAAGCCAGCGCCAAAGTAAGACTAAACGTTGACGAAGCGTTCTTTGAATTAGTAAGACAGATCAGGTCCAACAAGCGGGTTGCAACCCCTAAAACAGGAGCTCGAAAACTGTGCGTTTTACTTTGAACAGGATCTATTTTTATCTTATAAGTGATTTAGGGGTCGTTAGAGTTGTAACAACAAATAGTGGATTCCCTTCTTCAAATTATTTCAAACCGGCGGGTGCTTTTTGAAAGAGCTCGAAAAAGGATAAGCTGCAATATCTCGAGATGGAAATTCATGATTCTTGAGCTATTTCAAAATTATAAATCTGCTTTACAAGGGGTATTTTGAACCTTCTCATTGATCTGAAAATCTCTGTGTAAGGTAAAGTTAAATCGTTTATCCGGTAACCGGTATGAAGTATGAACATTGAACAAAACAAATATGTTGCATTTTTCTAGAATTTGCAAATTTATTTTCTTTAAATTTTGTTTAGCCCCTGTTCTGCAGGAAAATTTTTACTAATCTCCGTTAAAACCCTGGAAATTTGTTAATAAACTTTCTGTCAATGAACTTACAATTTTTATTAGATCTAGATTTTAGATAATAAATCAGTCATCATTTTGGAGAAAGTCAGTTTTTTTAGACCGATTGAACGATCTGACGTATTTCGAAAAATGGGCCTAACATTTTGAATTTCCATTTCCAGAGTTTAGGACCAGTATTACTGCTCGTCTTTCCTCGAGTTCCTTCATCAATCGCCGGTTTAAAACAATTTAAAAAGGGATTGTTCTGCGTAAATTTATGCAGTTAGGGAATCTAATAGAACTAATAACCGTTTTAGTGGTTGCCGAACAGATGATTGTTTGAGTATAAAGATTCGCGTTTTGTTTTACTAATATTTATGATTTCTTGCTTTGAGTTGCATGTATGTTGTATTTATATATCTCTTGCTAAATTAGTTGTACATACAGCTGGTTTTATATTAACTTCAAGAGTAGGACCTATGGCCTGTGCCATAGGCATATCAGTTGATTAAAAATGTAATCTGATAAACTGAATGCTTTTATATTACTTTTAAAAAACATCTATTTTGTTTCTGGGGTATCACTAAAGGATTTGGAAGTTGAGTTAAAACGCCAAGCTGAATTGGAATCCCCTGTTCAAGATACTCAAACCCGAAAAAAATTTCCGATAACCTCTCACATTTTCTGTTAACAGTTCATTATTTTTTATAACCCTGTCAAAATTGAGCGTATTCCTTAACTTCCTTATAAGGAGTTGGTCATGCCTTTTCGAAGTTACAATTTTTCATAATTGCACCTGCTTTGATCGAGCTTCTGTCGCGACTCTTACAAATACATCGAAGTCCGTTTATAGAATTGCGACGAATGTTCCACAATATTTATAGAAAATGTATTTCCTTTGAGGGTATGGACAGCCGACTGAAACCCCTTTGATTAAAGGGTGGAGCCATACTCTGACTGAAACACTTTGGCGAAGATTTATGCATGAACAATGAACATTGTCGTCCATCGTCGTGAAGCTATCCCGTAAATAATTTAACTTAAAGATGCCCAAATTTGAGAAACAGATCGGTTGAGTATAATAAGTTTTTATCACGGTCTCTTGGGAATGGTGCATTTGTATATTTTACGTCAATCAAGTAAGCCTATTGTATTACCAATAGTAAAGTTATCTCTTCAGACCTTCTCTTAGCGACTGCTTTGAAAAATAATGCGATTTGACCATTTTGGGAATTAAATGTCGCACGGACGTACGCGTATAACAAAGAGCAAGACGTCAAAAAGTGGAGAAGCAACTGTAGTAATAGCATTGAGTTGCTATTCGTGGATCCCTTTAGAACCAAAAATATGAATTGCATAACACATATCAATATTGCAATTATTAATTCTATTCCAAAGAGCGATTTTGAGATCTCTTTTTAAAATTTCCCTTATCTTACCCGACCAGAGCAAAATGAGACGAGGCTTCTCTCTTTGAAATTGTATGATAGTCAAATATATACATAATTCTCACAAATATAAGACGGTATTGTGAAACAAAATGCTGAAACATATCGCGCAAAAAATATGCTACTACACCAACACGGTAATCCTTGCAAAAAACTTAATGGTCAATAACTAAATTGAGATTTATGGAAATAAAAGAAGCGGTTCTGAGATCTACCAAAAACATCTACTGGTCTATCTAGCACAGCATATCGAACATAACAAACATGAGTTTATTGCCCATCAATAACTATAAGTCTATCTATTAATTTATTAAGTTTAAAACATCGTGCAAAATGATGGAAAACGAAAAACTCATACCATTCGATGTTATCCACTGTGATATCTACTTCTATAAAAATATTTTTTGAGGAGGGTAAATCAATTCACATTTGCTCAAAAGTTATTGCATATGAGCAAGTTCTACTAAAAGTCAAGACGTTGAGGATGTAATGTAAATAGGGATATTACTTGAAGCTACTAAAAATTTAGAAAAAAATTTTCCACACTTCCTCGTATTAATCATTAATTAACTAATTAAACTCATCCCGTCAACACATATTCCTTCACATCCGTCAATATATGCTAAAAATTCACATATGCTAAAAACGCATATTATACTTTCACTTTCTTTCACTGACAAAACAATAATTCAAACATATCGCTGAAAAATCCAGAAATAAAACGATAGGTATATTCACATATTTATCTAAAGACGATTCATTACCAATACCCGCAGATTATAGTTAACGATAATATACCTCAGTCTTCAGACAGATTCAAATAATGCAATTATCAATTAATTAATTAATATACTCCTAAAGGGTTCACTGGGACGGGCTAGGTGACAACAAACACTTGCTCCGGTAAAAAGAAACTGTAAAAATAAATTGGCGCGGCGAATATCTATTCATTACACTGTTGAACTTATAGTGTCAAACACCACAGCGTAAGAATCTGACAACAGTGACGACCAAAAACTAATCACGTGCTAACTTCACGTGATACCTTCATACCTGGGTCATAATAAACGGGCACAGTTCCTGGTTCACTTGAATAAAATAAGCGGCGCAAACAGTCATTGAGTGTATTGAAGGTTGATTGACGTGTGTTAATTACTTAATCGATCAATTAGCGATTTAATTGATCAATTAGCAATCTAGATGATTAATTAGTAATTGAAACGCCGTGTCTGGCCTCTAAGGCGGTAAGGTCAGTGAGACAAGAACTGTTTGACAGGAATCTGTGAGATAAGGTTTTGTGGACATCAAATCGATCGTGTGGTTTTACCACCAACATGTGATTTAGCAGGTCGACAGCTGAAAAATTGGGTGTTAGTATTTGTGATTTTAAACAGTGGAATGCAACGAAATAATGTATGAAAGCTATTTTTCAGAACATATTAGTTAACTGTATCGCTTCAACTTAGGCAAAAAATGTGATTCAAATTAAGAGATCATCTCACCATCCGTGGTAATCTGTTTCCAGGGGTTACTGGGATACATGAAACTGGCGTTGTTGATCTGGTCGCAGATGTCCTCGTCCTCGTTGAAGGGAAATGTGCCGCTGAGGGTGACGTACATGACTACGCCCGCCGCCCACACGTCGATATTGCGGTCCCAGTTACAGTGGGAAATAACTTCTGGGGCTGAGTGAGTTGAGGCGTGTTAGATTAGATATAGCTGAGGTTATGGAGTTATGGTGAGTGTTGTAGTAGATATATATAATAGGGAAGTTTTTAGTTTAACAAAAAATATAGAGTTTCAATTGGACAGAAGTTGATAACCACAAACTTGTACAAAAACTTACCTAAGTAAGCGGGAGTACCGACCATGCTTTGTCTAAACTGGTTAACATCGATGATTCTAGCGTAACCGAAATCACACAATTTGACGAGGGGCATAGAGTGAGGTTCGGCTAGGAGAACGTTTTCTGGTTTCAGGTCGCAGTGAACTATTGCTAAGGAGTGCAGATACTTCAGCGCGAACATCACCTGGAGGAGAGAACTCATTAATAAAATTCCATGAATATCATTGGTTTTTATTCAAAACAAAGATTCGCCGGTGAATAATATCATTGGTTTTTATTCAAAACAAAGATTCGCCGGTGAATAACATCATTGGTTTACATTCAAATCAAAGATTCGCCGGTGCATAATATCATTGGTTTTTATTCAAAACAAAGATTCGCCGAAACAAAACAAATGTTTATTGATTAGTCTTGTGGTGGTTAAAAATACCTGAACCATAAGAAGTGCAGTGCTCCTCTCATCCAACCGTCCTTGTGAGGAGTTGAGGATCATCTCCAACATATCACTGTGCATCCTCTCCATCACGACAAACAGTTTACCATCTGTTTCGAATGTGTTCTGAGGTAGACACTAGGTGTTAAAGGCACAGAAATTTGTTTTCATTTTAGCAATATGACACAAACAAGTTCATTCATAGTGCTGTGTTTTGTGTTTGAAGTAGCTTAATTAGTGGCCCACTAACCAACATCTCAACCACGCAAGGAAATGTAGCGCGCTTCAGGATTTTAACTTCGTTTTCAATATTCCGTCTCTGTTGTCCGAACTGTTCTTTTTTGATTATTTTAACAGCTGCTTTGCGACCTGTAACGAACGTCTATATATCATTTATCGGTCACAAAACTGTTCTTCTGTACTCGGTCCAGGGTTAATTAGTTGCTCTGTCGGTCTGTTTGTCGGTCTGTTTATCGAGAAAACTAATACGGAATACCCCGCAGGATCCTAAACAGTTAAATTAAGCTAGGTCTGTGTGAGTGTTTGTCTGTTTGGGTGTGCCTGTCAGTCTACTTACCGGTCTGTCGATGGATAGCACCGTACACTGCTCCAAACTGTCCGCTGCCCACCATGTCATCAATAAATATCTGGAACACTTCGCTTATGTCCCGTTTATCTATTGTCGGGAAGGACATCTGCTCGACTGCTTTCTTCTTTCTGCTTCCTGAGTATGATGAACCTATTGTTTGGTTAGTTTAGTGGTAATAGGCTTCAACATCCACAGCAATCAGTCAATATTGCAATGCTTAAGGAAAAGAGCAACAATCAGACGATTAAAAACCCAAATCAACAAACAGTATGTAATCGGTTTCTTTGAAAGCTTGTATGCTATATTGATAGAACACTCATGGTTGGGAAAACAAGGATCAATGTAAACATATATGCTAAAAATAATTAAAATCCCAAATCGAAAAACAAACATTATATAATCGATTTTTTAGATTTAAACACATCTTGTATGCTATATCAATAGATCTTTTATGTGGTGGGAAAAACAGGGATAATCTTCAACAACTAACAATCTAACATACAATCCCATGGACAGCGGAGAAATCATATTGTGTTCTAATTTAAGCAGCTTAAATCAGAAAAATCAAATATTGCCAGATCAAACTGCCAATAGGCGTGGTGTGCAATGCCTCCCAACTAAAAGCGTGGTGTGAAATGCCACCCCACCATAATTGTGATGTGGTATGCCACACCATTTGGAGTGTGGTATACTTACCGGTGGAACGTTTGACAGAGCCACATCTGTGTTTTCTCTCCTCTTTATTGTAAGCCGGCATCATAGCTTGAACTATGGCGTCAGACCAGTTTTGATCGGTCTTAATTTCAACCACAGAGTTCTCATCCGCACCATCGACTTTCTGGAAACAATATTTTGAAAGTGACTCCTAAATTTTACACAGTTGTTAAAGTGCGAGTTTAAAACAAAACCCGTTCCGTAATGCACTGATCACTTAAGGTTCACACTGAAGTTTGGGTTTCAACCATAAAATACAGTTTGGGTATTTTAAGTAAACTTACGAGTACATGTGGGAAGACGCTGATGAGGCCGTGGTTTGTGTGGATATCAAAAAGAGCTCCGTTAGTCGTCGTGCTCTCCACCTGAAATGAAATTATTGATTATTCGGATTTTTTTATATTAAACAATCTGGCCGTAATTGAATAAGTTAATAAGGCCCCGTGACACCCTGGACATTGCGCTTCGGCGCTCAAAAGATACATTTCTACGCAAAAATATCTTAAAAAACCCGAGTCGTGAACGTGCATCTTTTGATTCTTTACTCGCATCCTTTGGAGTTAGTCTTAACGCCAAAAGATGCGCTTTTAACCGAAAGCTAGAATCGTTATTCGTGTCGTTAACTCAAAAAGATGCGGTTTAAGAAATATTTTGAAAAATTTTATAACGCGTCGCTAAAACGCATCTTTTTGTGTTAACTTTAAGCTTAACTCAAAAAGATGCGATTTAAGGAAAGTGTTTAAGATTTCAATATGAATACTTAATTTCGTAACGCCAAATCGCATCTTTTTTGGTTAAGCTTAACTTGAAAAGATGCCATTTGACAACGAAATATATGTACAGGGTGGGCCAAAAGTCAGTGTGCAAACGTTGGGTCTTATACCTCCGCCGTGTTTTATATTTGAGAGCTGTTGCTTTGCAGATGGCATACTGTACTTACTGGTTCGAGGATTCCGTCGTCAAAATTTGAAAATTCGAATATTTTAGACCACGCCCATTCAATATTAAAACACCTATATTGTTTTCTCTGAACATGCTGAACGCCTAATTTTTTCAGAGACGGTAGATTATCAAATGTTGCATATGATCTGAAAACATGAGGCAAAACGGATTAGAAATGACGAAGTTATCAAGCACTTTCTGTATCTCGTTAACAAAATTGACTGGGTGATTATGTGACACCGTGACACGACACCTTAATTGGGCACCCTTAACAATTCCCATAATGTTTAACGGGGTAGTTAACGGGGTCACCTTATCACGTGATTAGGTAAACCAATCACCTGATCACACGTAATGAATTAACTCGTTATGCTTCATATCTCGGTCATCTGAGAAGCTACAGTTCTAATTCTTTCAGGACAAACGTAATTCGAATGGCCAAACACAATTCAATATTATTGAGCTTGATCCGACTATCCAAACTATCAAATAAATGTGAAAATGAACCTCCATTTGAAAAAAATGAACGCGAATATTTTTCGGGTTGACAAATTCCTCGAACCAGTGGTGGTACTAAGTCGTACCAGAAGGAAGTATTTCAATTGGGCACTCAGTGACTGAGCTATTAAGGCCAAAGTTTGCACACTGACTTTTGGCCCACCCTGTATATTTAATAGTAATAAGAGCCAATTTGAGGGGCATGCGTTTAGTCGGAGCCTCCCATCACCCTCCCCTTTAAAATAACTGTTGCATAATGATTATATACCTCGAGGAAGTGAATATCATTCAGTGCGAGATCCTTCAAATAGTGGGTTTCTGGACTCTCAGACTCGTAGAAAGTTATGTTTTTAGAACTCAGTACTGCGAATACCGGGAGCTGGTTTCCACCCAGTTTCTGTAAAGAAATTTAATATTATTTATGAGGTAATTAATTAATTAACATTCAAATTTTTAACTTACTTTACTATCCATCATCCTTACTAAAAGAGTGTATATCTATACGTTATCCATCATGCATAACTAAAAGTGGACTCATTATATAAACATTCCCCACCTCAGAAAGATCGAACTTGACATTCATCCATCCCTGTTTTATCATTTTACTCTCACGGCGATGCGTGCGCCGAATACTGACGCACAGTCTCTGTACAGGAATCATCTGCTCGCTGAGCGGGCCCGCTTCTCCACTCTCGTCTCCGTGTTCTGGATGCTCTTCCAGATCCTCCAACGTACTATTGCTGTTAACACTGCGGTGTTAGTTTCAAGATCCAGCTCTCTTGATGGCCATTATGGTAAACTTATATGCTGCCATATTGCATACCAATCGTTGATCAATAGGATAATGTGCAGGTTTAGGGAGATTTTTTAAATAGCTTTTAAATAGCTGTAATTGCAGAAAGTAACAGGTATACTACTGGTCACGTGATGTCATCCAAATGTGGTCGAAACTGAGTTTTCATTTTGTTTACCACTTATTATAGCAATTGGTAGTTTTATTCCCCAGTAGATTTATATATAGAAATTTATGTATAAAAATAGTTATATATGTGTTCTAAACCACATGAATGCAGAGAGCAGTCAAAAAATGAAAAATTAATTTCGATCACGGGACTGGTAGCATACCTGTCAATATTTCAGGCTGAATATCCCCATTAACAGCATTTTAACGGGAATCGGGATTAATAAAGTATGACAAGCCTGTTAAAGCACAACTAGCTTCATAAATTATAACAAGCTTGTAAAAATGTGGTTTTTGGAAAAAATAAGCAGCTGATCGACACTTACTTATGAGTGAGACAAAGTGCCTGGTCTAGAAAACATGTAGCCAGTAACGCACTAAGCAGGGGATAATAATCTCAAAGATTGTGCTTTAACACAACATGCTCAATCACACCCGCAAATCATTGCAGCTTTTCAATATCCCACCCATCCTTTAGGAGGATTTAATTTGATAATGGTTACACAGTTTTACGGTTTATTACGGAGAAATGGTGCACACACACACACACACCCACATGCATAGCCACTCGAGCTCACTTTCACATCGGAACTCATATAAACTCACACAAACTCACACGTAGCTAGAATCAGAGCATGCTCAATCACACACGGATCAGTATTCTTATCTTCCCGGTCTTAGATAACTACAGTACGAGCTCTAAAGAGTTGGTAACTGTAATCTTCTAGAGACTTCAAGATACGGACACTGACACTTAACCCAATGCAGCCCACACACAGCAGGCACCTTGTTTTGCTCTTGAGGGTCATACTGCTCATCGCTCGCTCCAGGTCCTCGCGCTCCACTGCAGACGAGCTGTTGCTGTAATGTGATCCCGCCGCCTCGTGTTCCTCAGGACCACGGAAAGAAACCGTCGAGATAAACGGCTCCTTGGTGGCCTCCGCGGGCTCCTCATCAGTTTGGTTTGAGAAGGGGTCATCTTGGGTAACCAGACTGTTACCATAAAACACACTTCGCCCACACACGATATCACCGCACTGTTTACTGTCCGACCTATTCCTAAATAACACGCTGTGAGTTACACTCGTGGACACGTGCACACTCAAAGTACACATGCGCAAACACATTTATAATTTATTCACACACACGTACATTTACAAACTCACACACGCACACTAAAATGTTCATTTAAATAACAAACATACAATTTATTATTTTATTTATTTTGGATTGTATAGTGCTGTTTAATCAACAATAATTATTACAGTTGAGCTATTAAAAAGTTAGATCTGAGTAAAACTTGCCGCACTGGGCCCGGTATGATTACACGTTTACTCGAGAAAAATGTGTAATATTAATCGAAGGATGCGCTGCAACTTTCAGTCATAAGTATCATGAATTGCGCGAGACAAATTTCTGTGAAATTATTATTAAATCCCACCTGAAATCGTTCACAATCGTCGACGCATTGGTTTCTGAAAGGATATAATATGTTAATATTGAATAAGGAGATGACGTGCTCACTTCTACACTAATCACTATGATATTTCATGTACAAATATTCATGGAAATCTTGAAAAAGATCCGATTTCCGAGATTCTTTCAATAGACTGTAGTCAGAAGTCAACCGTCAGTAGTCTGCCGTAAGCGTCTGTATAAATAATCAATTACTAGTTTATTTATGGAGCTAAAGAAAACATTTTTAGAGTGCGCGCAGCGCGCAAATTGTTATGGAAAATATAAATTGAGGCTCTTTAACAATAAAAAGAGTATACGCGCGCTCCATAAAGTCACCATCCAGTATGAGCCGAATGAGTTTCCCTATTTAGTCTAGAAATAACAATAAAGAAGTCGGCTGCTATTAGCTGACGGTGACTCTTCGTAGGAGGGGAAATATTGTCAAGGCACCCAACCTACTGTATTGTATCTAAATAGAAGCAAATTTGCACTTAGCATAACCGACTGCGTCCTATTGAACTCAAACATGGCTAGCATTGTTGGGAGCTTTGAATAATTCACATTTCTAATAGATTGCCTTACATGAGCCATAACATAACTTCACTTATGGTATATAAACGTCTCATATTATTATAGGCCGGTGCGGGCTCGCTTGCTACACGAAATGTAGAACCTTAGCCAAGGCTCAGTGGCTAAAATAGCCACTGTATCATTGCACCAATGCAGAGATTTTGGTACAGGGTTTGTGTCTCAAATAATGCTCACACAATTGCTCTCAGAGCTATTGTAAATGCAAATTATAAAGCAGAAGATTTAAGGACCCGTGCTCATGGCGCCTATAAGAGTATCTTCACTGCAAACTGTGGAGGAGGAAATTGTGCGTGAGGTCGACATTCCTCTCAGTGGTTTGAGTGGTTTTTCTGGAACGTTCTGTGTCTCTGAAGTCTGTTTGTCCGTGTTTTTGTCGGTCAGTTTGTCACGAGTTGGGTTTTGGTCCGTTGTCACAGTGGAGTCTGGATGAAATGTCCGTTAAAACACAGCGTACATTCGTACTGTCTGCACATAGTGATGTGTCATAAAACTACAGGTGTATTTGTAAGGGTTCACCATAGAGTTAAAATGTGTGTAAAGTGTGTGCATACCACACATACCTGAGTTAGTGAATATGTACAGCATGTCGCCTTGACAGTTGTCTCCTATCTTCTTGGAGCAGTCTCTGTGAGCATTGTACTTACAGTCTTTACATCGTACTCCTTGTCGTATCAGACCCATCAACTGTGGAGAGTGATAGAATTAGAGTTTGAAATAAACCTTTCATCATTTAACCTACAGTTCTTTATCATTAAAGTTGAGTCACCCAATGAAATCCACGTGGCAGAGCCTATACCATCTCCTTATAACACGTACCTATGCCTGTAAATCAGTAACTGTAAATACAATAGCTGTAAATTAGTAAATATAAGTAACAAAAAGCCGAGTACGGTGTAGTAGTCTAGTGTGTTGGCTGTTTACCATGTTTTGATGTTGTGGCCTCCCCCCTCACAGTGATATACTAGAACAGTGAGTTATACTGATGTAGTGAGTGTGTGTGTGTGTGTGTGATGGTGACAATTACTAGCGTGTCTCTGTATCTTTTAAAAGCTACTGAACATTAGATTTCATTACATTCTAATGTCAGACGGGCTAGAAAGCGCTAATGTTCTTGATAATAATCGTCGACAAACCTTGACACGCAGATCACAAAATAACACAGTCGGATTTGCGTGGCTCAAACGTAAATTGCGGTTGATTTATGCTGAGAATTTTTAAATTCGATTCAAACGCAGGGAATATTTCAGTGAGGATTGTTTATTTTCTTTTAAAACTTTAGCCAATGATAGGAGCCGGGGGAAAAGATAGAGGAAAATTCCTGCACGTATTGTCGGTCAAAGCAATATCAATTTGTTCGGAGGACCGGCCGCGGAACTAGACCCGGACAATCCAGGGACCGGCCGCGGAACTAGACCCGGACGATTTTGTTGCCGGCTTCTAAACGTCTATGTTATTAAAATAGCCCGCCCAATAAAGGTCTTCCCGTCCCAGGTCACGTCCAGGATCTTGCACCTGGTCCTAAGTTAAACACGACCAGAGCTGGAAGTGCCACTGTTATATTTGTGTAATAGTCTAAGCGTGCTTCATTCTACATAGTTACAAACAGTAGTGTTGACAATTTGTTAAAATAATGCGCAATTACTGCAGGGTTTGTAAAACCCTAATAAAAGAAGGTATTTGTGTAGTAAAGTTTATTTTCGGATCTCAGGTGATTTGTTCTGAAGCAAGGTTTCTGTAGATTCAGCAAAGTATTGAGATACAGGATATAAATATAAAAATACGTTCGAATGACATTACCTAATTACTAATTGCTCTGTTAAAAGCCGGCGTTATTTCCTGCAATCAAGGGAACTCGACATTCCGGAAAAACTTTTGGGCAAATTTGACCTTTACCGGGTTTTTACGATTTGTTGATGGATTGTTGAACCCGTGAATTACGCTCTTATTCGTTCTATTCCCTGTAATGACTCATGTCTTTCTTCCTTGTTTTCGGCATCGTCAAAATTCAACCGTAATTAACAACACCCATATCTTAAATGGAGTCCCGAATCTGATCTTCTCTACTACATTTTTGCACACTTGAACACAAACACACGATATGTATATCACAACTATTTTCTTCTCATAAAGCTGCATACAGCCTACATGTAGCTGCTCTCGAATACTACACACTACAACTACATCAATACAATCATCTAGATATAGAACCCACATATCACTCTATAATAATATAGTACAAGGTTAGAAATATGAAACTTTATCCCCATAATTGTACAGTAGCAGTACCCTTCAAGGGATCGGGACCGCCTCCCCACTGCTAAGGCGGAGAGAGAGCACCTTCTCCGACCTGTATCAGTTAATTATTGGTAGGTGCTGAATGTGCTGAAGGTGCTGCATGTGCGTGTGTGCTATAATTAATGTTATTCGCATTGTGGCACTTGTGCCAGGTTACTAACCAGTAATTAAAGCCATGATATAACAAGCCACAGGGTATCACGTGGTCCACTATCAGAATATATTAACTTGTGCCGTCAAGGAATTACAGTTCGACATTATTTATGATTTCTGTACTTAAAGTTGAGGATGTAGCACCCACACTCCACAGCAGGGGCAGATCTTTTTTAAGTGATAAAGTGTACAGCAGCTTTTATCAGACTCAATTATAACCACGTGGAGAGAGGCGCTAATTAATAAACAATTTATGACAATTAGCCTGGCGACGTAGTCGCGCTGGGGGGAGAGAAAAATTGGTGGAGTGTGAGCATTACATTACACACATATATCAACACTGGAGGGATGTTGAAATATCAACACTGGGCGGATGTTGAAATTAGCGCACGTCTTTAGTGTTCAGGATAATGTAGTGTACAATGAACCGGACGTGAAGTGTCATTCTGTAAACTTTACACGCTCTAACTGCACGTTACACTGTTGACACTCCGGTGTGTAACGCCGTTACAGCGTTACAGCGTTACAGCGTGTCAAGTGTGCGTCAACGAGTAAGACAACATGTCTGTCTCTGTTACAGAGCGCTGTGTAAATGTAGACGACATTATTTGACAGACAGGGGGGGGGGTCAGTTAGTGAGATGACAGGATATCTATCAGTTAGCATACATAATAATCCTGATCACACTAAAACAATGGTATTGGCAGTGCGGAAGTGGTAACAGGTAAAGAGCAAACAGTAAAGGGTAAAGAGCAAAAGGTAGAGATAAAAGAGCAAAGGACATTGAGCAAAGAGTAAAAAGCAAAGTGCAAAGAACAATGAACGAAGTACAAAGAGCAAAATTGTGATGATCTGAAAGAGATCAACAGAATTAACCAACTATTTTATGCACATAAAATCATAGTTACTTTTAATAGTACAAAACTAGGTGTAATATACAAGGTGTACCATCAAAGATGTAGCACAATAAAAGGTTTAGCCTGTAAAAGGTAACTACAGTTAAAGGTACACACTTACCAGCTTGCTACAGAACTGACAGACAGTAGGTAATCTGTAGGAGTGAACCACCCAGTGGTGGGGCACCGACATGCTCATGCTGCCGGACACTGCGGACCCTGAATCTGCTGACTGCTGAAATGATGGTAACAGTTAGTCACTAAGTAACTGTAATTAGTAACTGTAATTAGTAACAGTAATCGGTTAGTATAGTTGGGGATTAGTGACTTGTATGTGTTGGAGTTAGGTTAGAAACATTAAATCAGCCATATGATCAGCATGGTGTTGTCGTTGGAGAACACGGATATTACTTATTGCTTCTTTAAGATCCAGTGAACTCTAAGCCATTGTTACAAGAGATTAGTTGGCAAGTGAGGGCAGCGAACGGTGGAAATTGTTCCAGTGAATTGTATACAAAGATTAGCTAAATGTACGTTGCAAAATTGTGGGCAAAGATAAAAATAGGCGGTCCCGGTGCACAATATTTAAGAAAATATCAAAGGAAAACGTAACAACGAAAAACACTTATAACGATTCGAAGTCGGTTAACGAAATAAGTGTACAAAAGACTACTTCGCGCAATCTACATTCATGTCTTGATTTACACAAAGCTGAAAGTTGTCTTGATATCTACAAGGCACACCACCCATTATTAATGTCAACAATTTAATGGGTTTGTTGGGTATTTGTGAAGAGACGATAAAGGAGGAACTCACCCGAGAACTACCTCTTGCCCATGACGGCAGCAGTTTGACCATCAGGCTTTCACTTTCACGGCGGGATGATGTATTCGCTTTCACTTTGAAAGGGGAGGAAGGGGTTGGCTTTAAAAACGAGGAAACAATCACACGAACAAAGTAAATGCGAGGAGATCGGCGGCCAGCGGCAAATTACTTAATGGCTCGCACAGTCCTGATAAACGATCTTGCCATATTTTAGATCTCTGAGATTTGGAAATATTATTAGTCCAGCTTGATTGTCATAAGTTATGCAAATAACGCCATTTTCGTGACATATAAGGAGATAAGTTATATCAACGTTAGTTATATATAAGTTATATTATGCAAGTCAGCACTGGGCAGGAGGCGTCGGCGCCCAAAAAATAAGCCGGTAATTTGCGAAAGTAATAAATTCAACGTAGCAATAAGATGGAGAGTAAAGTGACGATCAATTAAATATGAGCGATAAAAATACAACAACACGGACAAATCATCTCGCAACTGGTGAGAGTCATGAGCTAAAAGGAAGCTTGATGTGGAGAAGTTGAAGTGACGGGTCTGAAATGTGGAACAGAGAATGTGGCCGGAGAGTAAGGTAAGAAAGTTGTAGTGTAAACGCGCGAACTCTCGCTATTTTCAGGTGTTGAAAGCTCCACTCTGTATAACATATTAGCATACATTAGGAGACGCCAGTTCGCCAATCAGCGTCCTGGGATTGTCTCAGCAGCCAATTAGAAGCAAGCTGGAAGGGTCACGTGAGTCAGATTGGGAGAATCAGATAGCTGGAGGCTAAACGGGAGATAAAGCAGGACTATGTAGTGTTTGCAGAGATTCTCCCTGCAATGTTGCCGTTCGGGGTGGTATTTTTAGCAACGGTCATGTATATACTGTATACCCTGTATACAAGCTGCAGAAGACGGCAGCAAATATTTCTCTAGAGGCGAGACTTGATTCGAGGCTGGAGATGAGGGTGAGACGGTGGAGACAGTTTCCCAACAGAGGCGACGAACTAATTTTATAACTAATACAGCTGTTAGAACTTTGTTGTTGATGTTAAGTCCACGAAACGACGGCAGTTGTTGGCGTAAGATGCCTTTGATCATGTTATCAATAAGGCTGATCGGGGGGGGGGGGGGGGGGGTAGTAATGACTACCAATGGAGACTTTTGGGGACTAATGGGGACTAAAAATCGTGGGGACTAGAGGTCAACTCGTTGACGTAATTCACCATTTGTCCCCATAAGTCCCCAGAATTTTTGACAGTTATTTATGGTTTTCAAGTTAGTTTAATAACGATACGATCGAGATGTTTTGTCCAAGATAAGAGTAGGATAAATCTAAATGGGGACTATTGGAGACTTTTGGGGACTAATGGGGACTAAAAATCATCTAAATGGGGACTAATGGAGACTTTTGGGGACTAATGGGGACTAAAAATCATGGGGAATCGGGGTAAAATCGTTGACGTAATTCCCCAAGTCCCCAAAAGAAGTCATTACGCCCCCCCCCCCCCCCCCCCCCCCGGCTGATCGTTAATAAATGTATGAAAACAAAAGAATGATACAGCGGCAACCCTCTTGCTTCAATTGATGTGACATTACCCATCATGTGCAAGGATCGACCGGGACCGCTTTTTTGGCCGGGACCGGGATTAAGCCGGGACCGGGAATATCCTTTATTGATTACAAGCACAGCTCACCACAACAAACCAGCACTTAACTCTGACAGTATTTTGTTGATTAATTGGTAAAGAATTTTGCTTTAAACTTCAGTTTTTCAAAAAAATCGTTCATTTGTGCAAAAAATGTTCGATAATTTAACAAATTTATTTTCTAAACTTAGAAAAAAATCCCGGTTCGGTCCCGGTCAAAATTCGGCATTTTAGCCGGGACCGGGATTAAGCCGGGATCCCGGTCGAACCTTGATCATGTGTAATAATATGTAATGGGACTATGGAGTAACTTTGAAGGAAGAATTCGAAATCATTACAATAAAACTTTATATTTCTGAGATACCTTTTGTACAGAAAGATAAATTAAAATATGTCAATATTTTGATTTTCCTTCTTCTAACAGTGCTCCATTGTGTAGATTGTGTTGTCATAGCAACATGTTCACAGGTCAACTACTGTCTTTAAGGCTCAATTGTCTTTGTCAACACGGTGGCCGGTGCATAATGAGATAGCGTTGTCAAGGTAACTGTAACAACAACCGCAAGGAAGACTACACAACCGTTGCCATAACAAGTTAGTTAGTTCCGATGTTAACAACAAAAAACAGTTACCTAAAAATGTTGATATACAAAAAATTGCGCGGCTCAGCATGGCGCAACAAAGCATGCTGCTTCCTCAATAGATATAACATACCTGGACAAGACTCTCGGAGCTGGAGAAGTTGTCGCTCCCACTTTCATGATCCTCCGGAGACTTTGGCGTACATTCTCTCAGTAGGTAGACACAGCGCTTGTGGTAGTTACGCGTACACCCTGCAGTGGGAGTTATATGTTACTTGTAAAACATCTAACAGTGACACATTGTTCCCTCCATTCATTTACCCTACAAGCCTCATTGATCTACAAACCCGCACTGTTTATTGTGTGTTACCGTCTCGTCTTTTTAATCTTATCGTTGAAATGATACGACATAGGTATCATGAAAGGAACGCAAAAATTACGTATTTCGTACCAAGGACGTTAATGGTCACGTCATTCTGCAGGTTATTCTGCATGAATCTTGTCGTTAGATAGTGAAATGAACCATACCTGACGTCAGATACGATAGATTCCAACTTTATTTTCAAAACGTTTTCAGTGTCTTTCATTGCAGTGTGCAGACTAGTGACAAATATGTAGTTCGAATCAAGGAGTGATTTAATACTTATAATAGAACTTCACTGATCCCTGGAAGACTGCCGTGATATCTATTAGATTTGGATCAACAAAAATATGACGTTCATGTTGATAAATTCAAGTCTGTTGTACGAACTTAGATTACTGTTGGTTGGTGTATCATGAACGGTTGCCAGAGAGTAAAGCTGTCAGCGTGATTAGATGAAGACTCATGAATAATGTAGAAATGCCATATCTGAAGACAAAAAAACGGTGTTTTCAAAATACGGTGTCTCTAAAACACCGAGTCTCCAAAACACCGTGTCTCTAACAACAGATATCCGCATTGTCACTAGTCTAACTCAGCTAATTACATTCTATTTACGCTTAATAAAGGCAATATATACAGGTTTATGTGGCGTCATGTAGTAGTAAAGCAGTACACACACCTGCTATTTTTTACAGAGTTGAAGAGTAGAAACTTGTTAGAAATAGTTTTACATAGACTCTCTCTCTCTCTCTGTACAGCGTGTGTACTTGTGACTCTATAATAATGATATCTGGTACACAACAATACACACAGTAATATCTTGTCTGTTTTCAGTTTATATTTACTATCTAGAGGCTGGTGGTGTCAAGTATCTCTCACTCAGGTGGGTAGCTATCAGCTGTAAAGTGTTTATCAGGTGTAAACACTGCTAAATGTGTAATGTTGTGTACTGTGATCGTTGTTTAATTGAGCAGGCAGTTAGTCCTACATTAGAGATATCCTACATTGGTCCTACATTGGTCCTACATTAGATATCATGACAAAACAGCAGCAACTAACAACTAACTAATAAACTATACAGCTATTATTATATATAAGATATGTGACATTGTCCACACTGTAATCTACATTCTATACTTTATAGCCCCTACTCCCCGTTATAGTTCCCAGTCTAGCTGCTACTACTGTTGTGCTAGCTGGCAATGTTGAATTTCACGGCTCACGGCTAATTATGGCCAGGTTTGTGTTGGACTGCCAAACGTTTGGTTAGGGATGTGAAAATGAAAATTTACAGAATGTGAGTACACATTGTAAAATGTGAATTGTGGAGGTGTAATATGTACCTATCGTGTTGATCACACGTTAAATTCACCAACAAATCACTCTAATTTCATTGACCACGTGATATAAGATTATATATTATATGTGTGTGTTGGCTATTGTCAGATGGTGGTGCCCCCTGATTATTCATAGCTTGATAAAATGTGCAGATTATAATTAAAGTTTCCTGTGGGTCACGTGATTTGTAGCACTGCTGTGATTGGTGGAAATGGGAAGAAAGCAGGTTTGTTGGTACTCGGTGGTGTATTAAAGCTTCAGTGCCAACATCGCTGGCAGCACCAATTGTTGTTAAAAGCAATCAGCTCTCTCCGATACATACTCCGACAATAAGTAACTAAACAACGTTGTGGCATTAATTGAAACCTGGTGGATGATGATAGTGGTAGGGTGGCAATACTGAGGGTGCTCAGTTGGGGCACTTTTTAAGGAACTGTAAATTATTTTATAAATCCTCAATCGCAGATGTCCACTCATTTATTTCTTGGTAAACGATTAAACTTTGGTCATAACCAGTACAGATATAAAATCTTAGTAATATTTCTTGAAATTTAATCTGTTGTGTGATTTCCACCAGAGCTCAAGTATGCAATTGTCAAGAAAATATCAAGTTAAAATTAGTCCACTAAAAATTTGCTGGTCGATACATAATATAAAATCTTATGTAGTTAATGAGTTTTGCTTGATTATCTATGAGATGTTCATCACATGAAGTTTATATCTCAGTTATACCAATCACATGGACTTCAGTGCCTCCCCACATTGGAAGATTTGGATGAAATCCAACACTTGGCCTTGTCAGTCACCGCATTTGTTTGTACACAGCAAATAGTTACAGTTGTTACATTTGCTGTGTCAGTCACCGCATTTGTTTGTACACAGCAAATAGTTACAGTTGTTACATTTGCTGTGTCAGTCACCGCATTTGTTTGTACACAGCAAATAGTTGCAGTTGTTACATTTTACATCGTGCTGTATCATTTAGTACCTGGTACCAGATACTCTAATAGACATGCGGACCTCCCGTCAGAACATCACTTTGAAGGTCTTGATAATATTTCTGGTTTTCCTGTGTTCCGCTTATATTTCACTGATACTCAGCGAGACTTGGTTCAGTGCCACATCTCAGGAGGAAACCAGGACGATGGGGATTGGAGAAGCGACTTTAGCGCGACAGGGTAGCGACCATGTTATGACTTCAACCCCTAATTGGGTGGAGATAAATGCCATCAGAATTCCTAACTCTGCAAGACGCGGGACTGATGAAACTAGAGTTCCAGTCACTGCAGAACCAAGGACTGATGAAGGGAGAATTTCAGCCTCTGAACCCAGGGCTGATGAAGGAAAAAAGAAGTTATTTGTGGTGATCGTGGCAGGCTTTAGAACAGGCAGCACACTTTTGGGAGAGTTCTTCAACAAGAATAATGAGATGTTCTATTTATTTGAGCCACTCCATCAGGTTCGTGCACTTTTGTTCATTTTTCTAACATCATGTAAACTTGTTAATTTCGAATGTTTACGGTTACAATGTATCGTAACACACAAGTAACGTGACTATCACGTGACTATCACCCTCCTCACGTGACTATCACCCTCCAGAACATCCTGTGGGAACACAGAGCAGAGATCTCCAGCTCCAAACCCTCCACCCCTCTCCTAGAGCTCCAACTACTCTACCTAAACCACCTCCTCAACTCATGCTCCATCTTCTCCTACTCAGAGTTCAGAAACCAGATGTTGAAACTCAGCTGTGGAACAACGGCGGAGAACCTGACCAAGTTCGGTAGAGAAGAGTGCGGAGAAGTTCCGCGTCACTTCATGTCCCAACTCTGTCAAAACCATGAAATTGTAGTCCTGAAAACTATCCGGATCAGGGACCTACGAGTTCTAGGTGAGATACCCAATATTAGGGAACACCAAGTTAAAATCATCCACTTATTAAGAGATCCCAGAGGGGTCGTGAACTCAAGAAGAAAGTTTCCCCACTTTTATCTCAGAGATCTAGATGAAGTTCCAGTGAAGCCCCTGACTAAGCGGAAGATCATGCAGACAGCAAGAGACTACTGTGACCATGAGTACCAGAACTTTCTTGTCACAGATTCAATACCAGACTGGCTGATAGGAAACTACTTACAAGTTACACACTCTCAAATTAGTACCCACCCCGTGGATACGCTAGAGAAACTGTACTCTTTCTTGGAACTAGATATTCCAGGTAATGTTAGAGAATGGGCTGAGAGTTTGTCAAGGACGGGCGAGTCTGAGGTTGGGGCTCTGACGACTCGTAAGAATTCAACAGAGGTTATGGAAAAATGGAGACGTGAGTTGGAGCCTCGTTTTGTACGGGTTATAGAGAAGACTTGTAAACATTTGATGGGCAGATTGGGAATTTTTAAGTGACGTTACCAACTTATGTGACGTGAACGCGCGGTTAACATCTATTAGATCATAATGAATTACCCATATATATACCAATATATATATTACCCACATAATGAATTACCCACACGAATAATCTTATTAAAATATTTTAAAGGTATTTCTTTTAAAATTTTATCTGAACATGATTTAACAGTGTACAAATTATTCAATATTTTATCATCACCCAGCGAGCTAATATCACTCTTTGATTGCGGCCTTGTGAAATTCATCATGTGTTAATCTATTTATTATTTAACTTGATAACTTCGTTAACCATGATTAACACAAATCAAGTAGAAAGCAAAGAAACTAACGTTTGCACTGGAGTCCCTGCTTGACGAGCCCCATTAGCATCTGGCCACACCGGTCACAGAATGCAGGTAGCCTGTAAGACTTGACCGCTAGGTCGTGTTGAAGATAATCCTTCTTGGCAGGCTCCGCGGAGGCTGAAATAAACTTTGTGTTATATTGGAGTAACTGTAAAGTTATTGTAGTCATGATAAGTCGCTATTTTTTAATGACGAATTGGCTTTCAGTGGTGGATATATATAATATGCAAAAAGTCCTTGTTTTATTAGAATATTATTAGTCTTTACACTGGGGTGGGAGATAAGTGCAAGTATTATAGAATACTCGTGTATCTGTACACATATGGTACACACTTAAGCACTTCACTCCAAGGGTAGTCTAAATATTGCATATATTTGTATGATTTTGTTGGGTGGTGTGTATTTGCGAATAGAGCTCAAACTTCGCATCTGAATTAGTGAACAAGCATATCGGAAAAATCAAGGCACTGGGACTGGACCGGGAATTGAACCCGGGAATGCAATGAGTAGAGTAATGATAATAATAGCTATGATTACGTGAACAAAGCCGTTGGAAATTTCAGGGTATCTAGGGCCTGGGTAGTTTAGCGGTTATAACACCAGTCCGGATAGCTGGAGGTCCCGGGTTCAATTCCCGGTCCAGTCCCAGTGCCTTGATTTTTCCGATATGCTTGTTCACTAATTCAGATGCGAAGTTTGAGCTCTATTCGCAAATACACACCACCCAACAAAATATTATTAGTCGCTATAATTGTCGCTATATTGTTAATAGCTCGCCATAATATTCGCTATTGTTAATAACTATTGGCTTTAAGTTACGAATATGTAAAAAAACATGCAATCATCATGCCAGCTTTATAGTTGAACAATAAGATTGATGACAACTTTTATTATATCAAGATCGGTTAACCGATGATATTGATATTGATGTTGTGGACACATAATGTTTCATCTGCACTCAACATGTGCATTATATATGACTCCCAGCGTATTACACGCGGTTATAAAACTGTTACTTTACTAAACATAATAATAATAATTATAGTATTCGTGGAATGTAAAAGTTGAATCAAGTAATCTAAGATCACATGTAGCAGTTATAGTAGTACAAGTAGTAATACCCAGTAAGTACCCACAACTCACAACTCACAAGTCACAGGTTCGTTAGTGTACAAATATTACATTCCTCTGTTAGAGTACATACTGTACTAAGTTCCCTAAATTACCCTAATTAATTTAAGGGGCACCCCGGCTCTCCCACTAAACCCAAATACCTAGACATTCATTTGTATAGTGTGTAAAAGTCTAGTAGTTACACTGTCTCCCAATACAAAGTTGATCCAGACATGCGGCAATAGTTCAAGTTGTGTTACAGTAAAGCGATCAATGAATTGTTCGTATATAATACCCGCATGTACTCCATACCAAGTCCAAATTATATTTTGCAATCCTACAATTCTATATGTCTAGGTAAATTATATGGCTGATTTAAATTTTAAAACCAGAAGCCCCCTATAATATGAATTATGCGATAAATTATATTTGATCTTTGAAACCCCGCCGAAGTAAAAATTATACGCGATCCCACAAAGTGTTTAAAACATCTATACAAGGCAAATAAACAGTGTAAGAATAAACATGCTCCCTAGTCTTCATTGTGTTTCGTTATGTTTAAATCATCAGCTCCAAGTACCCGTATTTTGGACGTACTTACTTATTTCTTCAGTCATCATCTCACTATTTCATTTTACGTTCACTCCCCTTACACAATAATTCTCAATTTGTGTGTCGATCCAAATTATCAAGCGTCAATAGTAAATGAATTTATTCAGGTTATCATATTGGACTAATGTAATTTGGATTTTAGGATCGACCACCTGGAAGTAACCTGTCAAAGCAAATCCCTTCTTAAATAGGAGGAGGTAATGACAAGCAGTTGCTCGAAAATAAGGAAGGAAAAAAGAAAAGAAAACTTGCTCCACAAACCCATATCAGCTGAGGAAAAGAATGGGTACAGTAAACTGAAAACGGGTGAAAGCATTGGATCACTACCATGAGGCAGGTAACTACCAGTAAGGCTCATAGCAGGAGAAGGAACGTGCAATAAAACCACTCGGTATTGTGGCCCTCCTCTCTACCTGGCCTGTAACCCATGTTTGGGGTGATATAGAGAGAGAGAGAGAGAAGCTTTACTCTATTATTACATACTGTAGATTGACAGATCCAGTATTATAGAGTGATACCCCGATACCCAGTACTACCCATCTATACAGGTGTCATACTTATAACTTACGGTACTAAAAGCACTTAAGATACTTCAAACTGTGTCAACTTGGATCTGTTCGGATAGTTGGGTGTTGCTTAAGAGGTTGTTGTCTTCTGTTTAAGCGGTTTAGTCTTAAGAAAAATGTAAGGAATTGTAAAATGAGTAAAAACTCACGATAATAAATGGGAAACAAGATAAGAAATTCCTGCAAGGAACAGGGAGGCTTAAATAACAGGGTCACCAAAAACGGAAGTTTAATAAAATTGGGAGATTTGTTATAACTCCCTTGAGGATTAGCAGGAGATTTTAACGGACAGGACAATTCCTCTACAATTCCCCTACAATTCTACTACAATTCCACTACAATTCTACTACAATTCCACTACAATTCCTCTACAATTCCTCTACAATTCCACTACAATTCCTCTACAATTCCTCTACAATTCCACTATAATTCGTCTACAATTCGTCTACAATTCTACTACAATTCGTCTACAATTCCTCTACAATTCCACTACAATTCCTCTACAATTCCTCTACAATTCCTCTACGATTCGTCTACAATTCCACTACAATTCCTCTACAATTTCTCTACAATTTCTCTACAATTCCACTACAATTCCTCTACAATTCCATTACAATCCCACTACAATTCCTCTACAATTCCATTACAATCCCACTACAATTCCTCTACAATTCCATTACAATCCCATTACAATTCCATTACAATCCCACTACAATTCTACTACAATTCCTCTACAATTCCACTACAATTCTACTACAATTCTACTACAATTCCAACTACAATTCCACTACAATTCCCCTAAAATTCCTCTACAATTCCACCTCAGATCACACATCGACGGGATTGACCCTGTTAGGCTCAGGATTTTTAACAATTCAACTAACCATAGTTGGCTTGCCTCTCCCTGGCAGTTCATAAGGGTCAATTTGAAGAGCTTGAGTGACAAATTGACTGTAGTATTTTAGTCAAGTAGACATCTAAAAGGAAAGTCCTACGAAAGTGGGTCCCAATTTGCGTCACGTTGAATACATGCATGGCTATAACTGACGAACACTACGTGGGACATCCCATTATGAACCAAAAATATCATCTAAATGATCCGTTGGTCGCTGTAATCGCTAAAATTAGGTCTCAGAGAATCTAAATATGCCTAAAATACCTGCCATGGCCCGTACCTTTAATATCTCTGTAAGTGCTCCATGCCTTCTTATGATCTACACATCCACAACCTGACTCGGATGAGATTTTCCTGCTCGGCAAACAAACGAACAACATGATAGCTAAGAAATGAGAGCCAACAAGTGAGCTAGAAGATCGTAAGCACGAGTGATTGAGTCATCGGAGCAATGTTTGTAAACATGATAGCAGAGCAGCTCATCATATAACAATTATCACTGTCCACAACTCACGCCCTCGCCGTTAATATTTAGATACACGTGTGGCGTAACTCTTTTTTTAATATGTTTTAATATATTTGATGATGATTGTCGTAGTTCTTTTTTAACACATTTTGGAGTTGTTGAGAATGATTTAATCTGCAGTTGCATTTTTTGTTTTTAGAGCAGCAAGTAATGGTGGAACTGAACGAAAAGTTAAACCATCAAACTTCAACGTCACTAAAAGTAAAACGTTTAAATTTTTGTTTGATCTGTTACCATGTTATTTTCATCAGTTAATATCAACTTACAGAAAAGAGAAATACTGAAACTTCTGCAAAAAAGTGGTTGAAAATGAGGCTGCATATCATGTTTCCCTGCCATTAATAAAGGGTGGAAGGCAAGAGTTCAAAACATAAGAAAAATAAACGTAACTGGCAAGAAACACTTAGCATCAAATATTTTACGCGGATCAAAGAAATATTGTCAAAGAAATCTCGAATTGAAACTTTTAGTCATGTGACGAGGAGAGAAGTCAAGTGTCAAGTCAGATTATGGTTGATGTGATATATTCATTTATACCAACGAGATTTACCCAAGTAAATAAGAACCTATTTATCTTATTTTCTACCAACGCCCACGCCCCACCCGGCTACTTAGTGAGCCGCAGAATACAGGAGCGAATAGGTTATGCAGAATAAACATCAGATACATATAATATATATAATACTTAAACCAAGAACTTCACAAGAGGCAAAGATCTTTATCAGTTATTTATTACTCTTTGATAAAAATGTTATATGTGATATTCGATCATACAATGAATCTTTACCAAATGGCTATGGTTAATCTCACGCTATCAAGCAACGCCTTAGATAATGAGCTAAGGAGAGAATTAATGTTTACTCAATAAACAAAAGATGCAACTCATAGACATTTAGCCATATTTTAATATATAAAACTATTATATACAACTTTCACTAGTTGCTTTGGGAAGTATTTAAACCACTTATCGCAGGCAGCTGAATGAACGTAACAGGTGATACCTGATAGTCAACTGTCACAGAGATTCGTGCTAACTGCCGGTGCTCTGACTAGGGCACCCGCCACTAACCCCCGTTTATATTTACCTCTAGATTCACATTTGTGTATGTGTCGGAGCAGGTCCGGCAGATCCGGACCTACTTCCTCCATCCTCTCATCGGGCACTCTCTATATCAGTAACCTGCATATCATCGCTGGGTGTGGTGTCGCCTTGTAGTGAGGGGGTGGGGGTTAAACCCCCCTCCTCCGGCCCGTTTAGCCCGTTCATTAGGAGGAACTCAGTGTTGTTTTCAGACAATTGCATTCTTTGAAATATCACATGATCAGATTTAAAAAGTTAACTCAAAGACAAACAAGATCTTGACATCAAGACTGATAAGTGGTGCAAATGGTGCGTGGCATTACTGGCTCACTGCTAAATTGAACAAAGTAGAATGGGACGGAAGGTAAAAGATAACCAGCTAGGTTTATGTCCACTGTCCAGGTGTTCGGATATTTAACATATCATTAACAGTGTGTCAGGTATATTATGTCAGGTACTGGATTAACAGGTTGAATATTTTTAGTATTTACATTCTGTGACTAGCCGCCTGAATTCACCTCAGATGTGCGCAAAAGGACTAATCATTTTTATATCAAAAGGAACTGCACAACTATTCAACTACGCGAGGGTATTGAAGGTAAGGAAGTAGCATCGTACCCCGTACCAGTGGTACCAGTGGTGTCAGTGGTGTCAGCGAGTAGAGGGTAGAGGGTCCCCAGGGAAAACCAATTCCACTCACCCAGAGCACCAAAGGATCCGAGGCCCGCTTTTTTGACCAGAAGCAAGGAAATTGGTTAATTGAGGAGTAAATCGATCGTACTTAAACGATGCTATTTCGACATTAGTCAAGTTGCATAATTGGTTCAAAAACAAATGGCATATCTATAATTAGCCAGCTACAAATTGAAGTTCATGAAGAAGGGTGTGAACTGTGAATTTATGATTTTGAGGGTAAATTAAAAATTAATTAACTCCTACAACAAAGGGAAATCTTCGTAAAACTGGGGATCAGGAAATTAGCACTGAATATGCTTGTCAGTTGGTTTAGTAACGAATTGATGATTTATTGACTAATAAACAGAAATACAACGGCAAAGAATTAAGAAACCGATCGAGAGAAGAAACAAAACAAATTTATCAGATAATCAACTGACACCATTGAATCCCGTACTTATAAAAACGGAGGAGACGTTTTAAAAGGAGTCCTAGTCATCCTTATCGGGCACGACACTAATCGTGACGTCACAATTCAAAATATGTACTGATATCACGATAGTCGATAACGTTTAACATATTTAATTAATTATACGTTTAACATATTTAATTTAATTATACTGGTTAGATAAACATGATAAAATGCACGCTGATAACTGAAAGTTAAACTGCATCTACTTCAGTAAGTTATAAAATAGAGGGAAATATGAAGAAGATAACCTGAATTCTGTGTAATGATGTGATCACGTGATATTATATGATCTCGTATGACTTTTAAAGAATCCCACGGGTCATGTTTAATCAATATCTCATATAGACAATAGCATTACGTAGTGCAGCGAGGAGTGAAACAGACGAGTTGTCAAGCATTATATCAACATTAGATCCCAACACTACATACTTAAACTAAATGTCGGTCAGATGTATAAAACGCAAAACTTGCGATCATCCAACGAGCTTTTTAAAAAAAAATTACGCTTATACCTATATAAGGACATATTAGAGTATATTTCAGCTATGGGTTCAAGTTTTCGTTTTCAAATAAAAGACAACGACGCATTATCAAAATAGCAATGTTTAAGTATCTCCATAACGTGCGAACGTTTTGAATATATATCACAGATTCAATCGACAAACAGTGCTGGCTTAAAACGTATATAGAATGATACAATACGATGATCTAACATGGCTAAAGTAAACATCAATTAAAATATATTAAACCGTCGTGAGTCATTTGCCAATATATTCAATATCTTTTGACACGCGTTAGCCGATTTCAATTATCGTTCATTGAATTAAAATTTCCTTTTGTACGGTTCCCTATGAGTCATCATTTTAATTGTTAGTCTTGATACAGCGAGGATCGACTAAAAACCCAAAAACGGTAAACTATGGACAGCAAAGAAATGCACAACAGCCAATGGTAACCAGTCACCAGTCACCAGTCACCAGTCACCAGTCACCAGTCACCAGTCACCAGTCACCAGTCACCAGTCACCAGTCACCAGTCACCAGTCACCAGTCACCAGTCACCAGTCACCAGTCACCAGTCACCAGTCACCAGTCACCAGTCACCAGTCACCAGTCACCAGTCACCAGTCACCAGTCACCAGTCACCAGTCACCAGTCACCAGTCACCAGTCACCAGTCACCAGTCACCAGTAACCACCTAAGGAACTATTGACAGTAAGCAAAGTAATGCACAATAGCCCACAGTAACACGATAATACACGACTGCACTTCTACCTTATCTGGGATCAAATATCTCGTACTATATATATCACTATTATATCACTATTATATCACCCAAGAAGAAGATATACACTGTGCGCGACACGATAGTGTAACTAGATCATCTGTGATAACGGTCTGGAACTCACTGCTACACAAATTATCACGGTAACTGTTTTTCTTATAATTATATTTTATGCGTCTTATAGTTGATACAAGAAAAACGACACTCTTCTTTGCGAAGAGGATTAGGAATCTTGGAACTAAATTAATTAATTGTGTAAAATCTTACAGTCAACATATGTATTTATTCTACACATAATATATTGTACGTGGTATTTCTGTACGTGTGTTTCTAGTATGTGGGATATCAGTTGCAAAGCTGATCTCGAAACTTTGCAAATTTTCAATCGTTTAAAAGGAAATACGTTATTTTGATCCCTCCCGCAATGTAACGGTATGTTCGGTATTTAAGTGGCTAAATTGGTTTTACGTAAATGATTCGACTGCAAACCACAAAATTCTTTGATTATGTTGAGCAATATTATAGAGCAACAACAGGATATTAAAATGCACTAATTCGCTCCAACAAAAAAGTTACAGAACCAGTAACCACCTCACCCATATCATTTACCAGTCGTTTGCAGGTCATATCAGAAATGGGTTATTATAGAGATTTACCTCTTATTACCATAAATTACTTCTAATCACCATAAATTATATCTAATTACTTATTAACAAATTGTAATTACATGCCATGAACTTTATTTAATTACCGCTGATGACGATCTCGATGATATCCCCAGGTAAGAAGCGGTCCTCCTCTCCCACAACTTGTAACTTGTACTCAGAGTCAAGTTCATTATGTCTGAAGAAGCAGAGCTGAGGTAGTGAGTATCCCTGGTCACCAAACTGAAGATATTTTACAGGTTAGTGAGTATCCCTGGTCACCAAACTGAAGATATTTTACAGGTTAGTGAGTATCCCTGGTCACCAAACTGAAGATATTTACAGGTTAGTGAGTATCCCTGGTCACCAAACTGAAGATATTTTACAGGTTAGTGAGTATCCCTGGTCACCAAACTGAAGATATTTTACGGGTTAGTGAGTATCCCTGGTCACCGAACTGAAGATATTTACAGGTTAGTGAGTATCCCTGGTCACCAAACTGAAGATATTTTACAGGTTAGTGAGTATCCCTGGTCACCGAACTGAAGATATTTACAGGTTAGTGAGTATCCCTGGTCACCAAACTGAAGATATTTTACAGGTTAGTATCCCTGGTCACCAAACTGAAGATATTTTACAGGTTAGTATCCCCTTGTGTCAACTTCATTATTTCAAGTGTCATACAGGCGTAATTTCCCTTCGCAAATTATCATAACATCCGCTGACTAAATTTGAATTGACCAAGACAATGTTATTTTGGGATATCGACTGACAAGTATTTTCCGAATAACTTTTAAATTTTCGATGTCGTTTAACTCGAAATAGTAAAACGCCGATATTTAACTCTTGCTGGAGCCTTGCTATATGGTTAATAGTCACACAATTCGCGGCAGTATCTAGATAACTTGACTACTGCTAACATGGGATTGGATCGGGCAGTATCCACGAACCTTCACACAGCTTTTTACAACTCCACGAAGAATTATTGTGAAATTCTACCGTAGTTATGGAGTATAAGTTATAACGTTAGAATTGGACGGCGAAATTGTACTGTAATCTTTCTTGTAATTAACCTAATAAGGCGTAAGTTGTAATATAAGTCATGATTGAGTAGTCAGCTATACTATTATTTACCGTCACCCTGAACTACGACGACCATCTAAATATGCGAAACAAAGCTATTGTTTACAGGTAAAACACGATCTTTAAGCCTTCGATTCAGTTTTAAATATAATGACCAACTCTCTACAGGGAAAGGGAGAGGGAGAGGGAAAGGGAGAGGGAGAGGGAGAGGGAGAGGGAGAAGGAGAGGGAGAGGGAGAGGGAGAGGGAGAGGGAGAGGGAGAGGGAGAGGGAGAGGGAGAGGGAGAGGGAGAGGGAGAGGGAGAGGGAGAGGGAGAGGGAGAGGGAGAGGGAGAGGGAGAGGGAGAGGGAGAGGGAGAGGGAGAGGGAGAGGGAGAGGGAGAGGGAGAGGGAGAGGGAGAGGGAGAGGGAGAGGGAGAGGGAGAGGGAGAGGGAGAGGGAGAGGGAGAGGGAGAGGGAGAGGGAGAGGGAGAGGGAGAGGGAGAGGGAGAGGGAGAGGGAGAGGGAGAGGGAGAGGGAGAGGGAGAGGGAGAGGGAGAGGGAGAGGGAGAGGGAGAGGGAGAGGGAGAGGGAGAGGGAGAGGGAGAGGGAGAGGGAGAGGGAGAGGGAGAGGGAGAGGGAGAGGGAGTCACCAGTCACCAGTCACCAGTCACCAGTCACCAGTCACCAGTCACCAGTCACCAGTCACCAGTCACCAGTCACCAGTCACCAGTCACCAGTCACCAGTCACCAGTCACCAGTCACCAGTCACCAGTCACCAGTCACCAGTCACCAGTCACCAGTTAGTTGCAGCAGTAGACGCTCCAATTGACGCTATAATAGCACTTTTGCCTTGTGTACTTATTATTTTCACTTGGATACAGATTGCTATTGCACAAGTACAGTGTGCTTGTCAAGGCTCACAGTACGTCGCGGCTGCATGCTGCTCGTGTATGTAACGCACAGAACACGCAGCTTTTGCAGGTACTATTCAATTTAACAAATTTATCATTTTATTCTTATTTAAATGTCGTTTTATGTTGACCAAAGAAAAAAAGTCTATGAAGTTTAAAGAAACAAAACGTGGCTTTGTTTAATAGTCATGTTAAATTTTCAAAATAAATGTCATCCACGCTAAAGAATGCGTTATATTAAGTAGTTATAAGTCATATCAAGTATTAAAAAGTAAGTAAACAAGATTAAGTAATATTTAAAATAAAAGAAGACTTATAAATGAGTTAAAGAAGTATTTCCACGGACCTTCTGCAGTATTGAGTTGAATATTTTGATGCGTATATTATCATCCCCCTCATCTATCTCTAACACTTGTCTGTGAAAACCGAACTTGTATACCAACTGCATTCTGAAACGCCAAGTTAAATCGTACAGCAATTACCTTGTAAATCATAATTAAAGTCAATTAAACAATCATTTATTGGATGATTACTAATTAACAGTATTTCAGTTTGCATAAAGTGTCGCCTGGCAGCAATGTAAACACCAGGTGTTATGAACCACGTGACCCACAACAGTAATCACGTGGTATCGTTATGATAACACGTGGTGTTGTTATGGCAACATGATTCGTTGCTATGTCAGGTACCACAGGTACTGAGTAGAGTACAGTAAATAAAAGGAGCTACAAAGTTGGAATTTATAATTATTTTCAGGTGCATTATTCAGTGGGTCAGGATTGAACTTGCACAGCTCAATTTTAATTATTTAATGTTATCTTGATGATAAAACTGCGTTGAAATTGAGCATTTTCCCTTCGAGAACGCACAAAAGAAACCAATCATGCGCCGAACAACTGGCACAGTTTCGTGACTACTATTTATAGTAATCACGAAACTTTTTATAAATACGCACTAGCTATAAATCTCTCATCTTGCACTCCCCCCGACAAGAAGAATAATAATAGTTTTGTAAAATTTAGCGGTGGCAACATGTGCAGAGTGTGCACCGCCGTTATTTAGCAGCACGTGCCACTTTCTAACACCCCTTTATCACCACGGAGTTATAGAAAGTTAACAAAAGAGAAGTAAATGGTCGTTAGGAGAACTCTAAACTCAATGCTATATATAATATATATTATATATATATATATTTATATAATTGTGGGTGGCGTCTATGGCGGCATTTTGTGAGGATCTCCGTCCTGGAGTTAAGTGTGGGTCACCACACGGCAGTGCAACTGCCGCTCCAGGAACTCCTGCCCACTAGACGGAAAGTGCCTATCGAAGTCTGTGGTATACATGGCGACCCTCCGTACGGAAAATGAGAAGCACCACTACATCGGAATGACGGAGGGCACATTCAAGGACCGGTACAACGGGCACACGTCATCATTTCGCCTGGAGCGGTACCGAAATAGAACCAAACTGTCGGAGAAGATCTGGTCCTTCAAAGACCGTGGGTTAGAATTCAGGATCGAATGGAAAATAATCAGACGTGGACACGGATACAGAGCCGGCCAGAACAGCTGCGATCTGTGCACGTCTGAGAAATTAGAAATCTTACTTCGATCCTCTGACCCACACTTACTTAACTCCAGGACGGAAATCCTCACAAAATGCCGCCATAAACGGAAATTCCTTTTATAATCTAATGACTCATACATCTAACCCCTAGTATTGTTTCACGAGTGATTGTTTATGTTAAATTTTAGCTTTGTAATTTTGATTTTAGTTCCTATGCCTCAGTTGTCACTGATGATATCATGGTTTTGTATCATGATTGAAACATTTGTCTGACTCAACCGGTCGTTTCATTTTGTATATATTTATATATATATTCTCACTTACCTTGTAGTTTAGAATAATTGATGATAACATAGAACACTGCGAGGATCTCGTTACTTCAGGTCATTGACGGTGTATTCAGGTCATTACGCTACAATTAAATTTACATCAGTTTTACATCAGTTTTACATCAGTTTTACATCAGTTTTACATCAGTTTTACATCATTTTTTCAGCTGCTACTAAATAAAGCAGCTGTGGTAGCTACAATCTACATTTAACTCTAAAAAATGTATACGGAAACAGCAAACCTTCACACCTGACCAGCACTCGGCGGTGAAATTTGCCAGCTAATTAACGGCGCTGTATAATGTACAACAATCAACAGAGCAGCGGTGGTACAGTATATTTGGCACAAACTTAATACAGCACATGTTGTGGATTTCATTATTATTATATCTATATACAATCTTTAATGCTCTCTCTATGAGAAATGTTTATTGTAAATGAATTTCAATATAATGGGAATAAAGTTACCAAAAATAGCATCATGCAATTGTTGGTTATTACTATTATTAGTGATTTAAGGTATAAAATATTTAGTTTTAAATGTACAAAAGTTCTCGTAATAATATTAATTAGTAACAATCTATAAAATTAAATATTTCAGCATAAAATCATCACATATCAAATTACTTTGCGTCAATCAATACACAGAACAATAGCAATACCCCGCTTCATCTTGGGGAGAACCACGTTAGACTAAATTTCCCGGTAAATCGCGGTTCCCGGTAAATCGAGGTTTATCAGGGCATAGTAAATCAGGTTTTACTGCAGTTAGTTTCTATTTCACGTAACAAAACACAACTTCTTTACTCTTGAGGTTTACGTTTGGAGAGGGCCCCTGTTAGCTCTGCGTTCATAACTCTTGACATGGTCTTCTTTTCAGAGAGTTTGGTTAACGACCTCACTCCATTAACGATGTCACGTGTCTTACCTGGATTTGGACAGTTAAGTTAATCGTAATTACCTCATAATTTTGTGATGATTACTGAAGAATGATTACCACGTTACCAAACAGCATACTTTAAATTGGTATACTTCAACTTTAAATTAATTAATGATTATTAAAATTGTACCAAGGAAGCGATCAAAATTACTTAAAATAACCACAATCCATCAAGAAAAATAACGAACTTACCGAAATAAACACCCTCTATTTGCTGTCGAATGTTGTTCTCCATGCCCTCAACCAGCGTACCGATGTTAACGACGTGCCCTGAAAATGCAACCTGATTATTTTCTGAGCTTCACGACAAAGACATTTTGTCATTTATAGTGGGACATCTTTACTATAACCCTACGTCAACTAAAAAGCACTCAACCAACATCGTACTCTTTATAATAGAATGTGGCGGGTCAGCTAGTAAATAGCTGATATTAGCCGCCTCCCCGATATTATCACCAGCTTTACATTTTCTAGTTACTATAATCAGTATTTTGCCCTTGTCTGATCACCAAATCACCGTTATCTGAGTGTAAATCCTCCTCTTTCTGTCTCATCAGACTGCCTCCAATGTTCATCTCATACTGTGAGTCTCCGTCCCGGTGCCTCATCCTCGTCATCACTGTAGTTGTCAGCTTGTAATGTGATGGTCTACCCAGTCTCTCTGTGACCTGTAACGTTGTGTGTTCTAAAAATAGCAGATGGGAGGGGTTGTGAGAACTGTTTTAAAGATAGTGATTGCGGTGGCCTGGGGTTCACTATGGTATAAGCTTATATTAAGGGAGGTAAAACATGGATCGAAATATTATAATTTTGAAAGTACAGATTTCGTATGTTCTAAATAAAAACCTCCATAATGTTTATTGCATCCCAACTGCCGCTGTTTTCTCCAATTATCGTCTTTTTAATGAGGATGGCAGCAGCAAACCCATTGTCAATGTCCCACACATAAACCGAAGATAGTGCCTCTTCGCCGTAGTACATGTCCATGTAGATCTGAAAAACTAATCGTAACTTCAAACTACTCAAAATACAATTTACACACTTTGGCTCGGGGCAAATTCAGCTCACACACTACCACAAGAGTTCAGAACATTCCTTTTCCTCTCCAGCCATGCACATTGTACACACTAATCACACTGCGACACAGCTCTCAGCATCCACACAGCATCCACACAGCATCCACACAGCTCACAGCATCCACACAGCTCACAGCATCCACACAGCATCCACACAGCTCACAGCATTCCACTCTTCATAGTTTACCTTAATAATTTGGTCTCGGAAGAAAAAGCTGTTTGTTCCAAGGAGATGATTTTGATACTATGAACAGGAAATATTCAACCAAAATGTATCTGGAATAGAAGTATTAGGTGATACATTTTTCCCAATTTACCAATTGGGAAAGAATGGAAATAAAATCATCTCAAGTAATAATTTCACTATATATACAGATGAAAATGATTCAATTGCTGTGATATGAAATAATCTGTGGAATTTTATACCTTGAATGCATCATTAAGTTCCTCTTCAATTACTCTCAGTTGAATGGGTGGATGGTACCCGTCTGCTATGTAAGGATAATACAAGTTACTCCAAGGGGATCTGTAACTGTCACCATCCCTGAATTGATGAAGTTTGATGTTACATAATATATGCATCATGCATAGAGAGAAATTACTTGAGACTAAAAGATGAAATAACTCGGTAACAAATATCGACAGGATACAATGTTGAAATTTTACCTATTGTAATCACAAATAATGAAATCCAACTCTTTCTCGTCATCTGTCTTCGTACTGAGTGGCTGATCAACAGCTGACAGAAGTTCCTCAGTCAAAGATGGGCACAAATCGATAAGATCTCCAAGGTGTTTATTAGTTTTTTGAGGTGGAACCCTTCGCATCAAATCCAGAGCACGCTCCAACTTTTTCTCATCATTATGTGCCATATCTGTGTGAAGTACAACGAATTGATTGATCTTTGATGCACACAAAATAATTGTGAAATGTTAACTTACAACATCATAATATCAAATCAAACAATATCCACCTTGCAAAAGGAATAATTATGGTAACCATATCACTGAAACATTCAAAGTTAACATATTCTTAATAAGGCAGCTTACTTTAGAGAAACAATTAAATTCCCAGAACATCTAACTAAAGAAGAATGCTAATGTTCTATAAACACAATAGTGCAATGTTCACATTAGACACTCCCTTTGTGATATCTCCATGCTCAAGATGCTGGCTCAGCAATCTAGGAGAAGCCCAGTGAACAAAAATAACTTTTACCTTCAAAATGTAGGTGTTTAATGAATTATCGCATAAAGTAACAATGTTTTTAGCACATTCAATTCTTGACTGATTATTTTTTATATGTGTGGTAAATAGGGGCGCAGTAAATCGGGGTTTTACTGTATACGGCTTATTAAACAAGGGATCCGGCATGAGGGTCAGGGAAACTGGCTAACGTGTCATTTATGAAACAAAATCCCATCTGGTGGTCTTCCATAATCTTGAAATACAACTGGTCGAATGATTCCACAAAACTCATTATGGTATAGTTACCCTTGAACTAATCACACTAGAATAAAACCAACTCCAAACAGAAGTCTTATGTATATTGTATAACCACACCAGTGGCGTAACGAAAGGCCCTGCTGACCCCGCTGTGCAGGGGGGCGCCGTCTTAGGGGGGCGCCAAATCGTCGATTGAATGTGGGACAATTTCGAAAACTTAACTAAAGTACTAGCAAAACTGCGCGTTTTGCTCTAGATACACACTTTTTTAGAGATTTTACCGGCGTATTCTTTAAAATCACCTAATTTGTTCAATTTTAGGGAGGGGCACCAAAAGGGGAGGGGGCGCCAACAGGGGGGCGCTTTTTTCGGCAGGGGGCGCCAACAGGCAACGTTACGCCACTGAACCACACCATCCCAAACCCACCTTGCATCAAATCACATGTAACAAAAAAATGTTCACCAGCGGACCTCTATTACACAAAATTGCCGCTTGCCTGACAGCCAATGGCCATTTAATGCATTAGGGATACCATCCCTGGGATGTATTGCCAGAGTGGTCATCACATAATGGTTCAATAGACTAGATGGGCTCATAAAAAGCAGTACCCTTCGATGTCATTTGTTAAGTGGTCGTCAAACAGGTGAGGGGAGGTTTCCGACCATACAGCAACAAAAATGTGTGAAATAACTAATATGTAATAGGGGTGGCCTGGGTGACAGTCATTATGTCAAAACTATATCACATGGTTTATTACAATTTATCCCTTTTCCTGATCATAAATGTTTTCTAAATAAATTAAATAAAACGGTAAGACTTTTTAAAATATGAGTGGAATTTATAAGAACCCTTTTGTAATAAATACAGCCCATCGACAATTCAATTAGCAAGTAAAGTTAATTAATTAAATGTAAAAATCTGCTATTTTCACAGCAACACTGCTATTCAATCTTCTTTCTCCTTTAAGAACAATGTGCATTGACTGTTGTTCTCAGAGGAATTTGTTTCCCTTTGAATCAATCAAACTAGATGAATTGTTGTAAATACTGAGATCAAACTATCAATCTACAGGCTATCGTTAAACATGTAGCAAGGCGTCATCTTCAGTGACATAAGCCCTAGAAATTGTAAAAAGTTAGTAAAACCCAAAATTCCTTAAAAAAACTGTTGTTCTCAATAGGTCAAATCTCAACCTTTTCCTGATTAATTTCATCGCCTCACTACATCATTGATCATGAATATTGAATTGTTTTTCTTCAAAACTTTAAAAGTATTCAAACAATATAATTTTTTTTTTTAAAGAAAAAGGGGGGACCCCCAACCCATGTAGCTGAAACACCCCACAGCAAGTAGACAAAAGTGGCTCTTTCTTGTGAAAAATGTATCACTGTATCAACTACCTGCCGAGGCGGTGGGTTGGGAATCCCCCTGGGATCATTTCGTCCGTAAAATTTTACACAACATAAAAGCTACAATAAGTTATGTGTCCCGAGCTGTATAAATATCTTGTTAATACCTACAGAAAAGCAGCGAAATTGTACATACCAAACTCCAAGGGTTTGTTTATTTTATCCCAAGAAGGTACTACTCAGGGGGACAACTGTGCTCCTGCATTTTACTCCTGTAGCCTGATGCCCCTTCTGGACAAACTCCCCACAGAGCCACCAGATATTTCTCCTGTGGTCTTTGAGAACACAAAACCACCCCAGAAGCCTCCTGAGGAGCACGATAGGATTAAGACACCACCAGATACAACTCCAGATATGACTCCAGAGGTTAATAAGCCCACCAACGAAGCTGCTAAACACATATGGTTTGCAGATGATTCTGGAGCAGCAGGAAGGCTTAAAGCCCTGAAGATTTGGAGGGATTCCATACAGGCATCTGGCCCTGTTTACGGCTATTTTCCCAAACCGTCCAAGACCTGGCTTATTGTTAAAGAGGAGTATCTGGAGGACTTCGCCGCTTCGACGCGCCACGCGAACTAGCATTCTTGCTTCGCATCGATCGTCGATCTTTCGATCTTTCGATCGTTGACATCGTCAACCAAAGGAGTATCAAGAGGAAGCCAAGTCTCTCTTCCCCGACCTTAACATCACCACCGAAGGTTGTCGTTATACCTGGGTTCCTTTATTGGTACAGAGTCTGGAAAGAACAATTTTATCCAAGCCAAATGTGTTGAATGGATAGAAGAGATCGAGGGATTGGCATCAATTGCACATTATGAGCCACACCTTGCTTACGCCACTTTTGTTTACGGCTCCTCCTGCAGATGGTCTTTCCTGATGAGGACCACCCCTGACATAGCAGTGAACTTGCAACCCATTGAGGACAAGATCAATATGTATTGATTCTTCTGTGGAAAATAAAAATTGTATTTTACTTAAAATTGTATTTTAATTCACATAGCCATGTGTCTACGCGTACTGCGTGACGCGCTTGTTACTGCAAGCGAGAGGGCTCTGGTTAGAGCAAGTATTTTAATTGTGCTTATCTGGGCCCCAGCATTTGAAACTGACTTGAATCGATGTATTTTGACCGCTGATTTAAACGTGCACCGACAACCGAGTTGATTTAATTAACAATTTCAATCATTTTCATACGTTGTATGACCCACCGCGCACGAGTGCGCGGCTCCCCCTGTATCGTAGAAACTTTACAGTGAAATGTGAAACGACGATGGGGGTCACGACGTGATAAAAATACAACATAGCTATTGTGTCAAAATTACACTAGCGTAATCATTCGGAACCCCCTCAGCTGATTTCCAGACCGAAAATCGTCGGGAATCTCAATGTCGGGATTGACTTTGTAGCGCGATGCGTTATTGTGCCGCGCCGCGCACTCAATGAGGCTTCTCTCGCTTGTAGGTTTACAACCTACCAGGACGCGCGCCGCGCCGAGTTGGACTCGTCAACGGTCCAATATATGGAACAGATATTTTACGAGTATCACCCGTTAATCTCTCGCTAGATCGGCTATTGTGCCGCGCCGAGCTGCGATGAATTGACATCGTCAAATAAGGATTGACTTCACTAGCTGCAACCCCTTTGTTGATCTCGCGCGAGAGAGGTTTACAACATACAACGTGTATGGTGTAGCAAAGCAAGCGTGACAATGCGCGCGAAGACGTCCTCTATGCTCTGTGCTCTAACGTGACAATTATCAAGGGCCCAGGTTTTCTACACGTTCGCGTTGTATACCTCTCTCGTGTACGATCAAAAGGGGTTGCAGCGTGTGTCAAGCCCAGGTTATATCAGGCTAGACAGTTTCTTTTACTTTTTACCAATTTGTAACCACTCCATCTGTTATCAGTTTTACACAATGAGTAACGGGTGATACTCGTAAAATATCTGTTCCATATATTGGACCGTGTTCCATATATTGGACCGTCGACGAGTCCAACTCGGCGCGCGTCCTGGTAGGTTGTAAACCTACAACACTGAACACAATGATAAATGATTACTAGCGTAATCATTGACACACGCTGCAACCCCTTTTGATCGCGCGCGGCCGGCCGCCGTGCACGAGAGGTATACAACGTAATCATTGACCCCCTCAGTGATCAGGAAATAAATGAACGATCCCGAACAGGTTTTCGCTCATTTATGTCATTACACATTAGGTCAGGAGAGGTAATTTTATATTGTACATAAACTTTTAGTTCATAGACCCCTTCTCTAATACATAATAGCTCAGTTCTACATGTAAGTGTAACCTTTACTCATGGTCGATTACGAAAGGTTAGACAGTAACGGGATGTCTCACGTGAGTTGAGTATGTCAGTCATCTTATTTTAGCCCCCAGCTAAACGGTTAATTTGTTAGTTTGATAACTTCAAACTCCCATCGGCCATATCTTGAGAATATATTAACAGTACGTTGCCGGTTCAATATTTTAACGCACTCGCTCACAAAGACACTTAAATGTTATATAAATCTGTTTTGAATGTATAATAGAGGTATAAATAAAACAAGATATCTTAGTTCAATTGTATCACTGGGATCTATAGAACGTGAGTATCAATAACTTACAAAAATCAAATTCATATCATATTAAGAACCAAGAGTCTTCATACTCTATAATTTTCATCTTTAAACAATGAAGGCGTCTACGAAGGAAATGACAGTTTCCTTGAGTTTGGCATCTGTTGCGTCTGTCAACATGCCGGTGGCCTTAATGTCATCAATAATGTCCTGGTGATTGGCCCTGATGTGAGCAACGAACGCTTTTTCGAAATCGGTGATCTTGTCGGGGGCGATCCTGTCAAGGAAACCTCTGACTCCGCAGTAGATAACGGCTACTTGCTCAGAGATATCCATTGGAACTGAAATAAATTGTTTAGCCCAAGATTTAAGCAGATTAAAAAAACAATAATGATGCTTGATATTTCGGCCATAACATTGGTTTAAGTACATATTAAAGCATAAAGGGAATGATATTCGATGTTATAGAATTTCGAACGCCTAAATTCAATAAATGGAATGGGCGAACTGTTAGCAAATTACGAAAGCAATAACAAATAATTTGACTCACCATATTGTCCCTGTTTAAGGAGTTCAGTGAGACGAACACCTCGGCTCAGGAGAGATTGTGTGGCAGTATCAAGATCAGATCCGAACTGTGCGAACGCAGCAACCTCACGATATTGAGCCAACTCGAGCTTCATCTTACCAGCAACCTGGATTATTTTATTAGTTACGAGATTCGGTAAGATTATTTTATCGACCAGAGGGGAGACGGGGAGGTTGGTTGGGCTGTTATAATGACCATGCTCAATGGTGGGAAAAATTTTGCCATTGACAGAATTTCTCGAATCAACTGTGAATCAATTTCTAGCCATATTCACCAAGGCGAAAATGATAAATGGTTCATCTGTTCATGACATAATGCAGAGATTATTTCAAATCATGCTTGCTTAATGCTTATTTCGTTTCGTTTAACGGATTGTTCTTTTAATCATGAACCGCGTCCGCTATCATATTCACAATTCACATGGCAGCATTGGTCGACATGCAGTTGATTACAGCGATGCTGCCATGAAAAACGTGATTGTCTCTTAAAGTGAAACAATTTTCTGATATCGGAGACGGCGGATGAGGATCAAATTGAGGGTGTTGGATAGCCCCCGAAGAATTTTGGCCAAGTTCACAAGTTATGACAGTTGGATACGGGAGAAGTTTAGTGAGAATCGAATTTTCTTTCAAGCGATCGAGGGGACTAGCCCCGTGACGATGTTTTGCGATTTGGGCACGGCACCTTTTTCAAATGAAGAAATAATAATAATTAAATGAGGTTATAGAGATCACGGGAGTTGGTTACGATTTACATTGAGCCAATAAAGTATATTGGATGCAAGATTTTTTTCCGTCTGACCTCGAAACGAAATTAAGAAGTACAAGCAGAGTTGCTGCGGAAACTGACTCGCATTTTTGCAGAAAAATTAAAAATCAGTGTATCGCAAATGCTGTCACTATTGTGCTTTGCACGCGTCTTGCCAATTCAAAGAGCACAAATTGTGGGCATTAGAAGGTTTGCGCGCATTAAGCGCGCACTATGTACTGGATTTCCTCTTACGACTACCAACTAACCTGTTTCATTCCCTTAGTTTGGGCAGCAGATCCTACACGACTGACAGAAAGACCAACATTAATAGCAGGTCGGATACCCTTGTAGAAAAGTTCACTCTCGAGGAAAATCTGTCCATCAGTGATGGAAATGACATTGGTGGGGATGTATGCTGACACGTCACCGGCCTGGAAAGTTCGGGAATGAATAAATGAACGCTAGATTGGTCTGTAAAAACATCCATTATATGGATGGCCTTTTCTCATTTCCACGCATGTCAAATCAGCTATAACGACAATTTTAACGGACCTGGGTCTCAATAACTGGCAGAGCAGTGAGGGAACCACCTCCATAAGCGTCAGACATTTTAGCGGCTCTCTCGAGCAGCCTGGAGTGAAGGTAGAACACATCACCGGGATAGGCCTCACGACCAGGGGGACGACGGAGAAGGAGAGACATCTGTCTGTAGGCAACAGCCTGCTTGGACAAATCGTCGTAGATAATCAGAGCGTGTTTTCCTGGGAAATTAGGATATGTTTAAGATGAATTATGTACGTGATTAAGATTACAGATCGCGTGATTCTGTAGTATCCGAAAATTCAGCTGGAAGTAAAAGGGATTGAAGAGTAGAGAAGGTCGAAAAGTGTTGCAGGATTGCTTAAAAACAGAGCAATAGTAATCACTGCCGCCCCACTAACCAGAATCCCTGAAGTATTCTCCCATGGAGCAGCCGGAGTAAGGTGCGAGGTACTGGAGAGGAGCGGCATCAGAAGCAGTAGCTGATACAATAGTTGTGTACTTCATGGCTCCGGTGTCAGTCAGCCTCTTTACAAGCTGAGCAACGGTGGACCTCTTCTGTCCGATGGCAACGTAGATACAGTACAGTTTCTTCTTCTCGTCATCTCCATCGTTGAAGACTTTCTGGTTGATGATGGCGTCGATGGCAATGGCAGTTTTACCTGTAAATGTGACTTGATGTTATACCTATACTATCCTTGTACTTGTACGTTGTTACGAAGAATACGGAGAAATGTTTAAATGTTCTCGAACATTCTGTTGGAAAGTTTGCAGCGGGAACCAGTCAGGAGGGCGGAAGACGCGTGGGCGGAGGTCGCGTAGGCGGAAGACTTGAGGGCGGAGGACGCAAGGGCGGAGGTCGATCCCATGATTTGGGCGGAAGTCTCGTAAAACGATCACATGTCCTAAATGCTCGACTGGTAATACTACAAAACCTGAAACATCACACAACGTACTTCAAATTGTATAAATTATATAAGTTATATTCAATCATTTTAGTGGTACTGATTTCGAATTCTTTGTAACTTTAAAAACAAAATACACAGGGTTATAGAGAACGCTTAAAGGTAATATAAATCACAATGTAATCAATCAATTTTGTCAAAACCCGAATAGAATAATATCATGCAATAACATAAACATTTCACATTTTCAAATTTTCACTCTTTAGCAAATCAATATAGGTTAAAACATCATCCTCGTACGAATGGTAGTTCTGAACTATGCTGAGGATTCTTCTATCCTTGTCGCTGTTGGCCTTCTTCCTCTTAGGCGGCTGCTCTCCAAGCGAATTCGCTAAGATCTTCTTGTCTGTCGAGGACTGTTCCATCTGGACTGCTGCAATGAAATTGTAGATGGTCGGGTTTGCGTGTCCGACTAGAGCAGAGAACTTCTTGTTCCAGGACTCCACCACGTTGTTTGTCCGGTTCATGTTGAAGTGGCTGCGTTCATAGACATTCCACGTGGACGGAGGGAATTAAGCTCGTCCGGTGCCGGAGGCAGTCGTTAGTCCCTGGATCCAAGTGGTCTGGAAGTATGCCAGGAGATCGTCAATGTCGAGGCCTATCGGTATATCATCCAGGATTCTGAAAAACGCTTCGATGACGTCCTCGGTGGGGATGAAGGCTAGGAGCATCAGTCTCCGTATCCAGATTCGTGTAGGGGTGTAGTTCTTCTGGCCAGATGAGTTCACCATCTCCGCGTGGACAGTCAGTAACTGATAGAACAGCTGCGGTGAGGATGAGAAGGTTGCGTCGATATACCAGCTGCTGCTCTGCTCTAGGGCTGTCAGGTTGTTTTTTGTTGATCATATCCCAGATCAGTTTACAGATGCCAGATCAGATCCCAGATCGCTCGTGATGTTGTGATGTCCTCACATGTAACCGTTGTGTTATATGAGATCATGACCATGGTGATTCATGACGTGAGTCGAAGTTATGTATCACGTGACTCGATTCGATAGTTTGAGTCACATGACACAAGGGCTTCTGGGATATGATCAACAGTTTTCACACGAAAAGATTGCACAGTGAAACGAACAACTTGAGTCACAACGTCAGAATCTCCTAGTCCAGATGGAACAGTCCTCGACAGACAAGAAGACCTTAGCGAATTCGCTTGGAGAGCAGCAGCCTAAGAGGAGGAAGGCCAATAGCGACAAGGATAGAAGAATCTTCAGCATAGTTCAGAACTACCATTCGTACGAGGATGATGTTGTGCTATGTGAAATGTTTATGTTATTGTGATATTATTCTATTCGGGTTTGACAAAATTGATTGATTACATTGTGATTTATATTACCGTTAAGCGTTCTCTATAAGTATAACCCTGTGTATTTTGTTTGTAAAGTTACAAAGAATTCGAAATCAGTACCACTAAAATGATTGAATATAACTTTGATTGAATATAACTTATATAATTTATACAATTTGAAGTACGTTGTGTGATGTTTCCGGTTTTGTAGTATTACCAGTCGAGCATTTAGGACATGTGATCGTTTTACGAGTCTTCCGCCAAAATCATGGGATCGACCTCCGCCCTCGCGACCTCCGCGACCTCCGCCCTCGCGTCCAACCTTTTAGGAAACTTCCGCCCTTGCGTCCTCCGCCCTCAAGTCTTCCGCCTACGCGACCTCCGCCCACGCGTCTTCCGCCCTTGTGTCCTATACCCGTTGGCAGCGCCATAAAAACTTGCATTCGAATATTCAGTAGAACAAAAGTTAAACACAAATTCAGCTTACTGTGCAACTTTGAAACTAAGACTAGAACTTACCAGTCTGTCGATCTCCGATGATCAACTCTCGCTGTCCACGACCAATAGGCACGAGGGAATCCACAGCCTTGATACCAGTCAACATAGGTTCCTTGACGGACTCACGGGGAATGATACCGGGGGCTTTGAGACCAACTCGCTTCCTTTCGGTGGTTCCTAGGGGTCCCTGGAGAGTGTACAAGGGTTAAATGTTATCAGTTGATAGAGGGGCTTTATATCTAACTTACACTGCAATGTAACATGATACTCACATGTTGCATCAGATAATGAGCAAAATAATCAGAATTACCATTTCAATGATCATGAAAAGTTTTTAATGGGATGAAAAGGAACTGACCAGGCCATCGATAGCGTTACCCAGAGCGTCTACGACACGTCCGAGAAGTTCCTCTCCGACCGGTACATCGACAATAGCTCCGGTCCTCTTAACCACATCACCTTCCCTGATCTCCTTATCGTTACCGAACACAACCACACCGACATTGTCGGGCTCCAAGTTAAGGGCCATACCCTTCAGTCCAGAGGAAAACTCGACCATCTCCTCTGCCTGGATGTTCTTCAGACCGTAGACACGAGCAATACCGTCACCAATACTGAGTACTCGGCCTGTCTCTTCTAGCTCAGCAGAGCTGGGGGAGGAGTAGTGTCAGTTAGGGTGACCTAGTTAATTAAACGTACTGTTCTTTAGTGATGTTAGTTTCTGAAGATAGTGCATAGTTGCGTGGCAATAAAGTATTGGCTGTCTGGGTTCTCGGAGTACGTGACAATCATACCCTAAAACGCTGAAAATACCCCACTTTTAGCGACATATACAGCATGATTGTCAGTTGTTCTGAGCAACCCGGCTGCCTATGTATTGGCCAGGCACGGTTAAAATAATGGTATAATTAAATAGTTCCTGCTAAAAATACCAGCTGCCTACTCAACTTTAAAACACCCATGTACACTGTTGCATTTAGAAATGGCTTATTATTGATCAAATCGATCAAACCGTTAATGATTTTTTAAGTAAGTAAAAGTAAAGGCTGCCCAGTAAAAGTTTGAGGAATGCTATTATACCTGGTGTGTCCCATGATTCTCTGCTCAAGGATAGAGCTGATTTCGCTAGCACCAGCTCCAGCTGCCTTGATGGCAGTGGTGGCGATACCTTTGCTGGCAACACCAGCTAGGTTGCCCGCTTTCTGGCCCTGCAAAATAACAAAAGGTTAAAATGATGAAAAACGGATTCAAAACGTTATTTGCACCTAACTTAAATTAGTTATTATAACTGAACAGAAATTTACTGAATGGTCAATTTCATACACACCCTACACATGAGTAAAAGTAGAGGGTAGGTGAACACGTATTTTCCACGTGACAAATTTTGACCAATTAAATTGAATCTGATTGTCGCTGTAAAGTGTGAAAACTAATTTGCACCACCCATACTGACCAACAGAGAAAAATATCTTGGAGGGGCATAAATTTGGACCTAAAAGAGGGATATTTAGATGAAGCTTTGCCTTCGGCAGGCTTTGCCCCTTCGGGTGGTAGCATTTACATTTTTAGTCAGCTACTTTCATGTATACCAGTGCATGATTAGCTTCAGTTGCATTTACATTCTACCCTATAATGGGGACTTGTCAAATTGAAGAATGATGATATGGTGTAGGACGGGGGGCCCACATCCAGAAAGTTTAAAATTTCCTCACAGAAACACATTCTCTGTTTTCTGTGGCCTGCTCACTTCGCTCGCAATGTCGGCTTTCCAGGGCCAGGCTAGCACAGCGAGAGAAGCAAGCACATAGCCAGTTCTTGGGCATTCGGAGCTGGGCCCCGGAAAATTTGTTGCGTTTTTGCCTGGCCACATTAAAATCTACAATTTAACAAATTATCTGAAGCCCTTCGAAAAAGTGTTAGAAAATTTGAGAAATTACTATTTTAAAGTGGCTTTCTCCGACAACCCACAAGTAAAACTCATCCAGCTGGCACCATTTATCGTAATTATCACAAATTATGATATGTCCTTTTCAAAGTAGTGGCAACCATGTCCCAAAAAAGCTTTGTGCGGAGAAAAGGTTAGTGTGGAGAAGAGGTTTGTGTGGATACAACATAAACTTTCGCACAGAACTAGATATTTATTATATAATCGTTAAAAGTGAGGTAACCTATAATAACTCAATCGCAATTAGAAAATTCAAATAACAGTGCCGATGAGTGAATTTGAACAGTTTTACTTGTTTCAGAGGGATAAATACTGATGCCCCTCCAAAAAAGTGGTATTAGGCCCAACGAGGGGCAGTTAGAGGGGCAGTATGACACCACCACTTTGTACGACCATCAGCTATGCCGATACTCCAGCGAGTTATTTTAATTGAATACTAGTTATTCAGTTCTAGTTACCTGCTTAGCATTTTTGCTGAGAAGTCGGAAGACTCTGGTGGCACGTCCAGCCAACATACTAAAACAGGCAATTAGTTAATATAATATAATTATTAGTATAATATAAGTAGGAATTAAATTTGTTACAAATTAAAATTTAGAAACTGAAACTATGTAATAGACACAGAATCCATCACATTTATTGTGCATGTTATGTCGAAGTTAAGAGACCTCAGCCGTTTAATTATCATAAACATTATCACAAGAGGAGGAACTGGCATCAAATGTTTCGAATCATTTTGGAAGGTTTGGTTTTGGTACCAGGAACAGTAGTAGCGAGAGTTTATTGAGCTTTATTGTAGAACATGATCTTTTTATTTGTAACACAGCATTTTAGCATCCTAGGGGGGTGATGCAACGTCAATTAATGTCAATTAATGTCAATTAATGTCAATGTCAGTTTTGCAAAATTTTGGAATACTGACATTAATTGACACGATATTTTTCGACCAGAGATTATGTAGTTCTACCATATTTTTAGCACTTTAGAACGTTTTCATCATCAATTTATTCACTACTATCACATATGGAAATGTGAAATGTGAAAAAAATTCAGATCATTAAACAATAAAACTAAAATAATACGGTTTTCCGAAATTTAATTTTCTTAAATGGGCGTGGCCATCCAAGGGCGTGGTTCTCAACATCATCAGAACTTAAAACCCACATTAAACGAAATGACTTCATGACATTTATGTTTGAATAACGAATCTTAAACAGCTAACATTACTCCTTCATACTAAAAAAGCCGATTCTAGATATTTTACCTGTATAAGAAACCAATAATTTATGGGCGTGGCCGGTGGGGACCGAAGATGGAAGAGTTGGAAGCTGAAATTTTTTTTGGTGGTCTTTGAACCTAAGGATCAACAGATAAGAACATACTCATAATTATTCAAGGACATTTTGTTTTTTTTTAACCGGTCTAACTTACATAGACGTGAATATCTTGAATATTTATCGAATAATGATAATCTCAAATTTCAAGACAAATTAATGTCAATTAATGTCAATTAATGTCAATTAATGTCAATTAATGTCAATGTCAGTTTGGGGTTTTTATGGAATACTGACATTAATTGACGTTGCATCGCCCCCCATCCTAGTAGACATATTGCGACGCGTACTGGCTGGTTGAAGGACTATGCTTCATCTGACAAGAGTGCTAAGAAACCTGTGTATAGTCAAATTGACTATGTTATTTGCCGGACACGGAGCAGGGGGGGGGGGGGGGGGGGGTTCAGGTACTTAGTGCTGTATGTGTTGTCGACTAAGTGCAGTTTTGGAATTTACAAAAAGGACCCACCCACCCCTTTCACGGAACTAACTGCTTTTTCGGATAATATTTAGGACACCCACCCCCTTTTGCGGTACTAACTGTTGAGAAATCACGGTATTAACTGTGTCTTGGTATATAAAATAAGATACCCACCCAGAAATTGCTTTAAACAGCTCATTAAGGCCAGAGGGGGGGGGGGGGGGGGGGGCATTTACCCCCTGGGGTAAATGGCACTTTTCTAGTTGTAACATATTTGATAATGGCTACTGGAGTGTATCACGTTATCAGCACAGACTAAGAACATTATCATTATATAGATTTTGATTATAATTTTAGTCTAGTATTTGAACAATTTGTTGTCGTTTAGCCATTTTTGATTAATAAATTTTATGAGACAGTTTTCTCACATATTGCCAATTTTGTCAGCATGAATACGAAGTTGTTACTTTGAAACGTCGTTTATCCTAACAGTGCAGTATCATTTGTCGAAATCAGAATAATCAGCAATTATTTGGAACTCCCAAAAACTGTCTATCATGTACTAACTGTTTTTTCTGTGAAATGAGCAGCAGACCCACCACTTAGTACACAAGTACTAACTGCGTTTTGGAAGAAAATATGACCCAACGTCACGTACGGTTCTGACCTCATGACCCCCCGCGCGGAGCAAAAGAATACTACAAAATGCAAGATCCTATGCATGCGCTTCTCTAAGTTTGATCACAAGATCGTGGCCTGGTAGCAACTATCCTTACTAGAAAACCTTATCATGCACACAAGACTAAGCCGAAACCCAAGCGGTACAATGAAAGAACCTTAGACTGAAGTTAACCTTAGACTGAAGTTAACCTTAGACTGAAGTTAACCTTAGACTGAAGTTAACCTTAGACTGAAGTTAACCTTAGACTGAAGTTAACCTTAGACTGAAGTTAAGGGGGGTCTTCATCAAAATTCTCTCAAAATTGACTTTATAGTTGTTTCTGATAGAGGGGAGTGATATTTACCAGTTGCTTTTGGTCCCATGGAAAATTATTGTTCCTAACCGAAATTATCGCTGGTTTAAGATAGATAGATTTTTAGACTCGATTTTCAGAACTCACGATTGAAAATCGCTTGCGCAATACAATTACACATAATCTCTATCAGAAACAACTATTAAAAAACAACTTAAGATGGGATAGAACTGTGTTACGTGCAAAGATAAACAGAGTGCAAGAAGTGATAAAGCATCATCTCAAATATTAGCTGCAGACCATCTTGCCATGATAATTGGATCAACAGATGAGTCAAGACAGATGTTTGAAGCTGTTAAACAACTTACCAATGCCAGAACCACTCGACCTATCAGTGCACAATGAAAAAGGCCATGTTATAGCTACAGGCATTGAAAATGGAGACTGGTTTGAGAATCATTTTGTAGGAGAGGAATCACCTCTAGAACCGTATGTTGGCATTCATCACCAACAACGGTGCTTATGTTTGGATGTTATTTTACACTGTCACCGGCAGATGGACTGAATCAAGTGACAACGGACCCCAGTTCACCTTGTGGGAGTTCAAACAGTTCTGTGAGCAGTGCAGTAGGGTATCAAACGTCACAAGATAATTCCACTACTACGAACAGAGTCTTCATTTTCAGAACTGTTAACGTTTCACAGCCTTCGACCTTCGTCATTTTATATAAACAAACGAACTCTAACATAATTGTCATAACTTATTTACATATAGTAGAAATTAAATTAATAATTTAAAAAAGTTTAAAAACTGTTAATTTTAAAAATTCGAGATATTCATTCCCTTTCTCTTGCAAAACTGGCAAAATGTGTGGCTGTTAAAGTTTAATCCTAGCAAATGCAAAATAATGCATGTTCCATTTAATGAAAATCCCCTTCAAGAATATGTATTTAGTGGTGTTACACTTGAATGTATTGAAGCAGAGAAAGATCTTGGAGTTTTAACTTCTTCAGATTTGAAATGGTCGAAACATATTAAAAGTTGTATTAGTAAAGCAAACAGTATGATTGCATGGGTTACAAGGAATCTCATTATAAGAGAAATTAACGTTATGAGAAATGTTTATAAAACTATAATAAGACCCCACTTGGAGTATTGTGCTCAGTTGTGGTCTCCACCTGCCTGCCATGGGAATTGGGCTACTATCATTGAACTGGAAAATGTCCAGAGAAGGTTCACACGCCTTATTGATGATATTGGAACACTTCCTTACATTATTATTATTAAATCTAAAATAGCTAATAATTTAATAAATTATTAACAGGCCCCTTAACGTGGGCAATAATATACGCTTTATAAATTATATAAACAAATTGAAGTCTATTTTCCAATGTTGTTAAGTGTCTCTTTAGATCTGTTTTGGTCTTTCGTGGGAGTTCCCACATTTGTTGGTTGAGAATGCTCAACATAACATACATGATGCTTGACTGCTTTATTGACCCGGACAGGCACCGGGGGCAGACATCCCAACACCAGTGCGTTGGGACATAGTGTTGGTCTGCTTCAGGACGTGTTAGATCCTAGAGAAGCCGCCATCCCCTCTACTGCTTTAGCTCAGCGGCAGCATGAGCCCTGGTTTCCTGCCACATTGGTACCTCTGAAAGTACAGAAAAGTGGTGGATTTCGGGGTCCAGGATACTCCCTCTTTGTTCTTTATGGTGGTAATATTTCTCTGAGATGTTTGCAGAGTCTTTATTTCATGATCTTTCTAGTCGGATAAATCCTGGAGAGCATCATTTTGTCCCCAAAGAAATTCGACTCTCCTAATGAATGCTTTTTGTGTGCTGCTTTTTGTTAACACTTCATCTAGATAGGAATGTGAGTCTGCCCCACCCAGCTCTTCTTTAAGTTGCAGGTAACTGGTGTCTTGCACCTCCAGACACAGTAGGAGCTGGTGTATGGGGGAATCAATGAAGCTGTTACAGAAACGACAGGCCTCACCACTGCCACCACCCATGATCTTTTGGATATTCGCAAAGAGTGGTGAGCTGCCGTGAATGTAGTCCATTATTCGGCTGTCCAGATTTTTACTCGTGTTGTGCCCGAATAAAAAGTTGTTTTTGTCTAGGAGCAGCCCACTGTTTTTAGAGAAACAAATTTTAGAGAAACAAATTTGAATTTTGATCTTTATTACAGATTAAACATATCATATATAACCATAAAAGCCGCGCGTCGGCTGATTGCTTCAACTTGGATTGGTAGTAATTTCAGTTTACAGAAGCTGAAGGACGGCAGCTCAAAAGCCCCAGTGAACCATCGGAAAGATCAAGGACTCGAGTGCCAATAGTGGCTTTTTCGAACCCATTTTCGCCGATTTGCTGTGGCCCAGATGAGCCGCGCCCTGCTGCTTAACGGCACATGGTGGTTTTTGTTTAAATACTTATTTAAATTTAAGCGATAATTCATTTGGTGGTTTACAGTTTTTGAATCATGTTCATCATTTATTTTTCGTTCAATTATCACGTTTTTACAATTCAGTCATACCATGCATAGTCAACATTGTTGAGGCAACCAGCTTCCGCAGTTCAATAATTGGAGACCGAAAAATATAAATTGATCGAAATTTACAATTCATCGTTATCAAATATAGTCAATAATATTCTTGATTCCATTTAGTACATAATAAGTTGGTTTTATTCTCTTGCAACACTACTGCACAACAAAAACTGCGCCTGTCCACCAGCAACAGCGCAGTCATAGGTGTGCAGCCAAAGCTAGGCCACACA